TTTTCTAGGCTTCTTACTGACTTTCCAGGATCCTACCGAATCTTTAAAAACGCACTTTCTTTTTCTTATTGTCAAAAAACATTCAAAAGAAAATATAATATTTTTGTACTTGTTTATAAAAAAATAAAAAACAAATTGTAATGGCTATTTTTAAGGTTATTTTCTAAAATAGTATGAGAACAACCAGTAATATTCTGTAAAAAAGATTCAATAAAAAATTGAGAAACATTTTTTTACATTATTTTTATATTATTTTATTTAAAAAAATATTAATGTTTTATTATTTTTTAAATATTGAGGATATCTTTTTTTTTATAAATATGAAGAGAGTTTCGAAGAATAACAGCTCACATTTGTTTTGAAAATATTCAAAGAGAAAAGACATTTTCTACAGATTTTTCCCTTATGACATATTTGTAAGAGTTCTAAAAATGATCGTAAGTTGCTTTACACTTCTTTTTCCTTTAATCTGGGATTCTTTTGTTTTTAATCAGAGGACAAAGACAAATTAAGAAGGACCTTTTTCATTCCCTTTCGTGTCTCTGTTTAATGAAACATTCTGATGACACAACACTCCTAACACACGTTGAAAAATGGCTTCATCTCGACATTTGTCTATAGGAAAATTCTTATTTTTATGGCAGTCTATATCGTTATGTCCGACGTAACAAAGAAATTAAGTAATAATAATAATAATAATAATATTAATAAATTAAAGTTATGTCCGACGTAACATAAAAGTTCGCTGTGCCTAGCGTTACGTCCGGACACACCGCTAAAACGCGTTAACCTAACACTCCTCTCTTTCTCGTTCTCGCCCGTAAACACTGAAAAGCGAAAACGTTTCGTTTAGGAGCTGCTTTGGTGGATGTTGTTTTAGCGAATGCGCCGAATTATTATTAGTTATACCAGTTTCTTCTAGTAAGAGATAGAGTCCACGAACTTCGAAACACTGTGTTCCCCTTGACAGACTCCTGAGAAGGAAATCGGACATTTGGAACTTTTATAAGTGCTGAGGTGATCACAGGCCAAATGATTACCTTCAATATGTAGGCTATATAAGGCTCTGGAGCAGTTAACGGGACTGTGATTCTGGTGTTGAGTTTTTCATGGTGTTTATATATAGTAGATTATAAATATATATTAAAACGATTCGAGTGTATTTCTTCTTTTATGTTATTCTGCGTTTCCGTTAAAAAGCATGAAACAGAATTTATGTTAGAAGGAATCCCAAAAACTTTCAGTGGCCAATTTTAACCAGGAATTAAGTAAGTTGTCGAAATGAACTCTGGGAAACATAAAAAAGTTTTAAAAAAAAGTTACAATACGATTTTAGAAAATTTTCAACAGAAGTTTAGAAGAATTTAACTACAGAATTTCGTAAGGAACCCACCCCTGCTTGTTTCGATCTCGATGAGCATCGTACCGGCGTGCGGTTGTGTATCACTAGTCTGTGATGCACGTTAAAGGTCCCAGGCTAGCGGTCGTACTGCACTGGTTAAACTGCTTATCTACAGCTGATAGAAAGGTCGCCGTTGCAGCAGACTAACTTCAGACTGTATGAACATATCTTTTTTTTTTTCGTCTTTAATTTTACGTTGTTGAAACGGATCCCGAGCAGTGAAGACGAATCCGTTACGTCAGTGGACGCTATTTTGGAACTAAGATCAACGTCTTTCTCGTCTCTGAAGAGAGCGTGGAACAATCTTAAACGCATAATGTATCCTCCAAAGCCGTTATCGGGCATTCCATCTTCTATATTTTTTGTTCGAGTATTATCCCATACGATTACATACGCGCTGACAATACTGTAGTGTGATCCTAACAGAAAAGGGAAACTAGTGGTACCAGTGTTTTGTATGAACGGTGCGTGCACGATTGCTCACATTGTAGTTTTCTTCGATATTCAACCACTCCTGCAAAATCCCCACCATGAGCTGAGAATATAACTACATAAGTCGTAATTAACTAAATAGATGCATCTATGTCTCGGCTGGTTTTAGGGCATACTCTTTTCGAGTTTTATTAGTGAAGAGCCCCGTATGCCCGCGGATATCCACACGGTATCCGCAGTGACACAGACAAACGTTTATAAGATAAGAAGAAAAAAAAAGATTTTTACGAATGCTGATACGCTTTTGCAGCGGAGAGAGGTTGGATCCAAATCCCCAAATTTGCACATCTGATGGGAACACGCTTCAGATGCATAAGGCTGCAGCAATACTCGAGTCAACTCCCTGATGTATGAGAGCAGATCTTGCAAAGGAGCGGATTGCGCAATCGAGCACACGGGACTGTTCCGAACATAGAATGGGATCTTCCGATCCCATTCTATGTTGTCTCTTCCGGTGGACAACGATCTCTTCATTTGCAACGCTTTACTAAAAGCGCTGTTCAAGCCTAGAGTGAAGAACAAGAAGTTGCGAATTGGGGGGAGAGAGGGGGGGGGGGGGGGGGGGGGCGCGGGCAGGCCGCGACTATAAAGCCTGCGTACGCGGGTGCAGTGCAGTTAAAGCGCGAGACACATGGACGGCAGAATCGTCCGATCCGACGTCCGATCCGACAGTCCGAACGCAGCTCCGATTTGCCGCACGCGACAGTTTGAGACACACGCTTGTTCCGACCTTGCATGTGACACGACGATCCGTTCGGCTTCGCCCAAGAGATCCAAGCGCTCCAGCGGGGGTCCGCGTTCCTGTACAGATTGTCCCAGATTGACGGTTCAGCTCGCACGAGCGAAATTACGAGCTAGTTCTCAATAGCGCGTGTATTCCTTGCTGGGGCCATCTTTCTCGAATGGGTCAGCGGGATTCACGGGTCCGGCTTCCCCTCGCCCGTCCCGTTATCGTGTTCGTCCCGCCAGACCCAGTACGTCATCATGACGTTCGTGCTAGCTGCCCGATGGTCCGTCCGCCGTGCGAAACTATCTGGCACGTTGGACGCAAGCCGGATCGCCGATCCGACGTCTGAAGCGACCAAATTTTTCGGATCAGGCAGTCGTACTGCCGGATTGGACGTCGGATCGGATGCATTTTTCGCGCATGTGTCTCGCGTTTTACTGAAGTCACTCTCCCCATGAATTATTAGTCATAAAGGCTCAGATTTTCGAGTAGGTCGGGCCCTACGCCGTATGAACATCGACACCATTATATGCTTGAATGCGTCATATTGAAATAAAGGGCGGTTCTTCGCAACAAAACCCATTCAAAGCGCTCAGCTACATGGATCCGACGACATCAAAAACAGCGCCGCGGCGACTTTGCTGGCGGTCGCAAAAGTCAAAGTGCGATTTATCCCCTTTTATAACCGACAACTGCTCAGTCGTCGACCAATATGTCGAAATTAGAGGCTCGTTTTCAACATTTAAGTTCACTTTGCGCCAACAGCACCATGTTTCATTTGTTTCGTTTTTGTTTCTGATTGAATCTGCCAACATCTTGGCAGGCTAGTAATTGTACTTAAAGCGGGTAAATTAAAGGAAATGTAGAAAACAGCGATTGCAAGCGCACTCCTGCTACTAAAGTGCAGATGTAAAATTTCTACAGGATTCCACAGTCGCTAAAGCGCGTGGAATTTCTACTGAATATAATCCATTCTAGATTGGTGCCTTGGGCGTCCAATAATTAAAAAAAAAAAATCAAGTGATCTAGCAACATTCCATTCCACGCAAAGGTGTGTTAAGCGAAATTACCCGAATAATTCACGCAAGAACAGTAAACATGGCAATGTTTACTTCGCTTCGAACGTTGGAATCGAAAAAGAAAATAAAAAAAAAATAAAAACAACTATTAGCTTATTAAGATGCTGAAGAAGCGTTATTCATAAAAATCTGTTCTTCGCTGTTCCTTTTTTGTTTTCTGCCATAAAGCTTTTTTTTTTTTTTTTTTTTTTTGCCGTTTTGTATTGGCCTTTCTTCTTAACGAAATGATATACGCGCTGGACTACATATAGCTTTTTCCAGCCATCACTGGCCTATTGGAAATAAGAGAAATGTTTAAAATGTGAACACACGAGAAACGATTATTATTCTATACTCCGTCTCACTAAAACCGTGCAGTACAGCCAAAGCTACAGGGGAGAGAGCGTATGCCAACCTGTTCAAGAAGAGGGAAAGAAGGGCTGGGATTCCCCCGTTCCTCCTTTCCTTCCTCTTGAACAGGTCGGGACACACTCTCTCCCCTGTAGCTTTGACTGTAATGCACGGTTTCAGTGAGACGGAGTATAATGGAACCAAAAACCCGAAGTAAAATAAAATAATTCCGCTTGAGACGAAACGCTGAGTAGTTTTGCGAACTTCAGTCTAATTGGAGAATTGTAGCGTTGGTAAAACGACTTCCTCGAGTGCTTGGGAAATGCTGTTTACGTCACATACAGAGCGCAAAGCAAGCGGTCATGAGGAAAAAAAGGCTGTTTACAGAAAAAGGTGAATCGCGCAAGGCGCCGTCGCAAATAGCCAGCCGTTTGTAAAACGTTTACGAAAAAAAAAATATATATATACGGGCGCATTACACCTTGGAAAACACGATATTTTAGACCCAGATATGGCAAGCGCTCCTTGTCACGTTCCCGATCTGGTATACCAATTTGGCTCGTAGATGCATAAACGGTGGGTCTCTCAACGGATTTTCCGGACCTCCAGTCTCGAGGCGACGTGCGTGATACCTTGCGCTACTTCCGTCACCGAGAGAGCATCTTCTGTTTCCTCCCTCTCCTCCCTCCCTACACCTCACGCACTGCTCTTCTTCTTATTATCTTTATTATTTATCCCAGAAACAAAGCGAAAACAATCAGAAGACAGGTCTCATTGTTATGTAATGCGCGTCTCCTACTCGAAGACACGCTGGAGTGTCGGAAGAAGGAACGCTCGCATAGTGTGCCCCCTCTTTTCCGTCTCTGTTCCGTCGTTATCCTCCTCGCCGATTCACACACCTTTAGCCTCTTTTCTGTTTCGCGGTTGCCTTCGCGGACAAGAGTCAATCCATTTACGTTCTGCTCCGCAGAGGACGCGACGGAGAGAGCAGCCGGGGGAGGCAGCGACTGCAAAGCCCCGCCAGCGGCGTCGATAAGAAATCTGGACCAGGCAAGAACGAAAGGACCAGTTCCACGGGGGAGGAAAAAAGCGCTCCGTCGTCGTCGAGAGAAAAACGCGAGACTCGCGAAAGGGTACTCCGAAAAGGAGTCGGCATCGGAGGTTGCAATCGCCGCCGGCTTCCTTCCTTTCTTCCTGGCCAATGTCGACTGCGTCAGCCGGGCACGAGGCACGAAACCAACAAAGGTGCTGACTCCTTGCGACCAGAAGAAGCGGGGAGAATTCATTTTCTGTGTCAACGCCGGCCAGCGTTTCCGGTCGGCAACGAACCATCGCAACGGTAATTTCGAGGCGACAGCTACCGCGAGACCTCGCGTCAAAGTCCCGTCCCTGCAAGCGATGTGGACGTGACAGGTCCGGAGAGCACGAGGCGACCGGCTCCGCAGGACCGATCCGTCTTCCTGGATTCTCCCTTTGCCGCTTAGAGTGAAGTGTCGGGTGCCGCCATGCCTCAACGCGACGTCGCCATGTTTGAGCTGGGCCTGCGGGACTACGGTTCCAGCTGGACGCGGCTGCAAGAGGCGCTTAAGGTCCAGCAGCAATTGTACGGCCCTCCCAAGCAAGCCCGCCCGTCACAGGACCCCAATGTCCACAGCGAAAAACCCGTAAAAGAGCGCGAACAAGAGCACGCCGCTGAGGATAAGTCTCCCGTGCCGGTGACGTCTTCGTCGGACCTTTCGGACCATTCAGGAGAAGGCTCGACAAGGACCGGGGGCAACAAGACGTCTGCGAAGAAGTCGAGGGGAGGACTGATGGGCCTCATCACGAGGAAGAAGGACAGTGCCAGCAAGAAAAAAAGTGCAAAGAGGAACTCGAAGTCACCGGAAAGGACGGTCAAGGAGTCGGTGGAGAAAGCCACCTCAGCAACGCTATCGTCCGAGGAGGACACAGAAGTGGCAAGGGGAGTTGATATCGAGCACTCTGTGGAACAAGATGGCAAGTCGTTCAAGAGGATGAGTAGCAAAGATAAGACGGCAGCTCAGGCGCCTGATGCAAGCATCCCTACCGATGAGGCCGCGGTTATGAAGAAAGAAAAGTCCAGAAGTCTCAAGACACGAGAGGAGTACGACCAGAGGAAGACAAACGGAAAACACGAGAGAGAGGACTATCTCCCTGATGGGAACACGGTTCCCCCGACGCAGGGAAGAGACTATACAGACTTTTCTTCGAGCAACAGCCGAAAGACTTCTAGGGGAGATTCTCCCCCTGACGGCAGACCAAGCTATCCCGTCCAACAGAAAGAACAGCATCACAGGAGCAACGGGAAACTTCACCACGAGGAAGCCCCGAGGAGCAGGAGACAAGGCAGCCCTGTTTATGACAAGGATGTGCAGCGGAGATACGGGAGAGATTCTTCTAGAGACGATTCGTTAAAAGAACCACAGAGCAACGGTATCTCAGATCACAATGACCAGTCACCCTACTATCGCAGAAACGGCGAGGCGACGGGGGAATTCTCTCTGAGGCAACCGGTTACCCCAGTGTATTACCAGGAGCAGTCAACACATCCTCGGGCTAAACGGGAATCTTCGAGACAGCAGCAGTTCTCGAGAGAACCTGACTTCGGCAGCTTGGCGTACCACAGTTCAAGCTCAGAACGTTCTCGACAACGCCCCAGAGAACCGTTGCCAAGGGACAAGGAAGCCAGCAGCACGGACAAACAGGCGCAGCATAGATCAAGCAGGGAAAATTCAAGGCAGGAACCCGCCAGAGAAAAAGAGGCAACGAACCCTACGTACCCCAGGGACCAACAGAGGCATTACAAGAACAGCAGAGAGTACCCGAGGGAAGAGCCGCCGAGAGAAAAAGAAGCCGGTAGCTTCCATGCCCCCAAGGAGCCCGCCCCGACGTACAACAAAACGAACAAGGACATCCAGACAGCCTGTTCTACCAGAGAAAGGGGACCGGTGAGCCCGAGGTACCGCGAGGAAGAATTTAAGTATCCCAGGTCGAACAACGATAGATCTTCGTGGGAAAGCCCGCCCAGAAACGGTGACGTCCCCGTGCCCAGCTCCCCCAAAAGCCGGCCGCGGTACTCGCGAGAGTTCACGGACGAGGACGACGATTTCATGCTCGTCGAGAATCGTCAGTTCGTCCCAACGACGGGTCAGTCTTCGAGGAGGCCACCTGTAACAAAACCAGCGACGAACGGCGAAGCCGCCAGGCCGAACTCCTGGTCGTCGCCGACCCTCGGCTGCACTCGCTGCGGCGACAAGGTGTACCCGAAGGAGATGGTGACGCCCAAGCCCGGAGTCCTGCTGCACAGCGGCTGCTTTAAGTGCCGCGAGTGCGGGGTCAAGTTGACACTGCAGACGTTCTTCACTAACCAGAGGGACACGAGAGACGTCGACGTGTACTGCCGGACGCACGTGCCGCGGTTGGGTCCCGGCACGGTGGACGGCAACGCCCTCAGCATCCTCACCAGCAAGAACAGCAAAGAAATCAAGTTCTCCCGCTACGGCAAGGTGAGAGCGACACATTTCCATATGTTCATCGTTGTTTCGGTGCCCGGCGAAAAACGCTAGCATGCCGTAATTTCCAGTCCGCGAACTAAGAATCTTCAAAAGTTTATATTCCGCGCTTTGCGGACTATCAATGCTACGGACCAGTGACCAGTGCAGACCATAAAATGATTTGTTTTCCAGAATTGTTCATTGTCGTTGCGGTTGTCGAGATCACATTAGTTCACGCTAAACATTAGTCAGCACAAAAAAAAAAAAAGTGGAGGATGGGTGTTGCTTTTGTCCTCGACGCTCCCGCGTGTGACGCCCAAAGTATATCTGCACCCAAGCGAAAAATATGAATCAAGCTTGATCTTGATGGCACAAATACGCACTTCTTGCGGTTGTAAAATCATTGGGGGTGTGCGAATATCGTTTCGAATCGTACAGCGCAATGTCATAGCCAGCTTCAACACTGTAAAGAGAGCCGATGTACAGTGACTCGATCTCCTTTGGAGTGTGAACGTTATAAATTGTGAAGCCCTACAACCTAGGGGTATCAAACACGCGGGCCGCAAGTATACGGAGACTCTAGTTAGGGTGGGCGCAACTCAAATCCTGGATAGCGCTTGCAATTTAATGGCGGCGCCTGAGGGAAAGCATTGGAAAAGGACATGCGCCAATGTTGCCTGCACGAGAGCAGATGCCCACTCTGTTGCCCCATGTGCCTTTCCTCCTCTCGCCTCCCGTTGCAAGCAACGAACGCCTTGACGTAGCCTTTCTCGCTTCCTTCTCGCCCCGGGAATTGCAAACGTCGAGAGGAGAAGGCAGGGTTGCCAATCAAGCAGCAACGTCCAAGATGCCGGAATTTACCATTTGCCGCCTTAAACAAATACTTAAAGGGATGCTGAACCTAAATCTGGATTCCACAAAGGACGGCGGGAAAAGCGTGCAACGGGATGCTACAAACATAAAAGCATCACTGATATAACGATATATCGAACGGACAACAATATTTTCCAAAAAAAAAAAAGGAGGCGCATTTGACAGATATGTACACGTCTTGTTTCTCCGAGGAGAGGGAACGGCCTCGCGTCTTCTCCGCCTCGCCGCCTTGAGGGGGCGAAACGAAGAGAGGAGGAAACAAGATATCTTGACGTCACGCGCCTCGTCGGCCTCGTTCAATCTCGACCTTTTTTTTTTTTTTTCAAGAAATACGGCCGTCGATTCGAAATATCGCCTTGCGAGTAGTGTTGTAGGGATTGTAGCGTCCCGCCTACAGCTCCTGCATTGTTTTCTGAAATCCAAATTTCGGTTCACCATCCCTTTAACCTATCGGAACAAAACTGGTGGTTGTGGAAAAGTAATCATTTATACCTTGCGTAAATGATTCAAGCAGATTAATGGGCTCTTATGACCTAAGTGAGGAAATAAAAGGACCCTTTGCTCCGTAGACTCCCAGGAGAATTAAGCAATTAATTGGCGTCCACGTCCCGAGATCCCCGATCTTGCAGTTGCGCCCATTCTCACTAGAGCCTCCCAACCCGCAAGAGTCCCTTGGCTGAGAGCTCCCGCTTCTATACCTCGAGAGCTGCATTCGTCATAAATATTGACCTCCTGTCGAAACGTAGCTCTGCTCTTATGACATTCTAAGATATTTAGCACTAATCTGTTTTCCTTCAGATCGAGGATTTCGTCTTACCGTTATGACATAAGCATTTTGTGATAATTATGCTATGCAAATTGTCAGGAAAACAAGAACTAACGTATGAAAAGAATTTCTATCCCGAAATATTGAACTCGGATACTCCCCGAGTGAAATCAGCTAGAACCACTAAATATTTAGTGGGACTAAATTGAGCGGCAGAGTAATGATTCTGTGTTTGGCTTCTAGTTCCACTGAAACAATTTCAGCGCGTTGGCTGGATGGTGGTATTTTACAAAAAAGCAAATAGCACGAGATTCTCTCCGTAGTAAATCCGGGTGTCGCTGAAAGACTCGGCTGCTTTACAACGTGAAACACTATAGGTTTTTTTTTTTTTTTCCTAACATATATTTATTAATTCCCCTCGACATATTGGGGGTAGGCTACACGGGCCACACACTCATATGAATTTGAGACCCCCTGCCCTACACGATTTTCACCATCATTCTCACACCCCTAAAAGCATCACTACAGGTAAATAGGCGACGTGGAGTCTTTCAGGGACGCACGGTAGCGGTGCCTCGAAAATGGGGGAAAAGAGCGTTTACGATCATTTTTGTTTCTGGTAAAACAAGACGACTTATAAACTCAATAAGATATCTATGAAAAGAATGCATTTGCGGTGCTTTATTGGTCAGCATGGAGGGCTATTTGTCGGGGAACTGACGACTAGTCACATTAACAGGAGTAAAACATCGATGAAGTAAACATCTAGAGCGGAGACAAATTTGACGTCGTACCGAAGCTCTTATCTCTTTCAGTAATAACACTTTTTTCCCTTTTCTGCCAAAATTTGTCTTGCACTATAGATCGAATGAGAACGTAAGGGGACACATCACGACGTGCCTTGCCCAGCGTTCCAACAATTTTATTCGAGTCCATTTGACTTTGCGCGGCTCAAACGGTTAGCTGTATGCGAATAGGGGGTACTTTTAGCAGACCGTTACCGTTTTCCGCGTACGCTAAACCGCCCATGTTGGTTTTAATCCTGCATCTCAACTACTGCATATTTTATTGTGAAATTTTATGTATTCAATGGTTACACCCTTGGGATTAACTTTCTGTCGCTTTTTTACTAAAGCATTTTTTTATATTTTAGTAACGGAGTTTCAAATCTTAGGCCGAGTTCGTATTAATGTACCTCTTCTCGGCAACAAAAAAAAAATATGATGCTAATTTAAATTGGCACGTGTATTCAGATGTTACTGCGTTTAAACTAAACCCAAAATACATAAGTTTTCACAGGCAACCATGCAAGAAAAAAAAAAAAATATATATATATATATATAAACGAATATGTGCAGATGAATGAACTGACTTGATCCAATGAATTAAAGAATCCAAGTTTTCAGGAACCCGCCGAAAGCCAAAAAATGGCGGAGCCAGGATATGAACTCTGGGCCTCCCAATGTCCGGTCGGGTGTGCTAACCACTACACCACTCCACCTTAGCTTTCTGGCGTTTCCTACCTGTCTTATTAATGCACAAGAAACGAAATGTGTCCAATCGGAGGCGTTCTGGAAACACACGCCGCCGCGTGGAACGCGGTACGACGCTTAGTGTCACGTGGTACGTGCTCGTTTGTGCTCCAGAAATCCTCCCACTGTTTGTCTCGCCCCGTGTACATGTAGTCTTCTTTGTTTATGAGCTTTTAGAGACACGGTATCATCATCATCTGCGAGAATCAAGAGCCACGTTATTGAATATACAACACGGGCACTTCACGTCATCGTACGTGGTCTCCGAGGGGGATATAAACGAATATGTGCAGATGAATGAACCGTTCGTTCATTCATATTCGTTTATATCCCCCTCGGAGACCACGTACGATGACGTGAAGTGCCCGTGTTGTATATATATATATATATATATATATATATATATATATATATATATATATAATGTTTTTGTCGTAAACCAAAATATGATAACTTTTTTTTTTTTACATTACAATGTAAAATTTTTTTGCAATGTAATTTTTCGAACTTTTAGGTTGGAACTGTTGGCAAGATATTTTACTGTAAGCTGTAAAAGTTCTGGTGTAATCAGATAGATAGTTTCTTAGTAAAAGTACATTAAAGTTATGAAAATAGAAAAAAAAAAAAAAAAGTCATTTTGAGCAAAACACAATTTTATGTCTGCACACAAAGGCAAATGGGCAAAGGGAGCTGATTGTGCGCCATATTGAGGTGGCTCGTTCGCGCTCGTCGCTTCCTGGTTTTGTTTCTCAGACCGCATATAATTTGTTTACACCCAAACTGCAAAATTATTTTTTTGCTCGGTTTACCCAACAATGCGTCCCTCAGTCGCGGTATCACCCGGGGGGCGCGGGCATAAAAGCACGCTTCAAAGGCTCCAGTCGTGCGGTACGCGGAACACGGTAACAGTTTGCTAAAAGTCCCTATTGAAGCAGTTCTGTTTCGTGGTGTCGTGCACCGTCAGGTGAGCCAAACGGAGAGGCATACTCATGACGACCTCGAGCGTGTAACTCGGAGCCAACTAACCTACTTTATTAATTCTGCACGCCAAATATCAATATGATCGACGCTGGCAAAGACCTTGTTCAGAGCACGTGCGTTGAATTAGTCCATATCCACGCGGTTGCGTACATTTAATCGGAGATCATTTGACTTTCAAAGAGAAGTCTAGAGCGGTTGAACCAAAAGCGGTGCTTATCAATTTATTCACTCATTCATCCACTTTTACAGTGCGAGCGAGCATTTGGATACGGCCCACATTTTTGGTGAACCGACAGAGGCAAAAAAGTGTAGCGAAAAGAAACTTGCACAATGCATCTAGAACGATGAAGCATTAATGTGTGTGCGAAGAAACCATCAAATTTCTACAACGCTATTTTTTTTTTTTTTTTTGATAATGCGTATTGCATTACTAATCATGAAACGCTCCGATGCGATCCATGATTTCGGGCGGTACGTTCCAAAATAAAAGTTGTCTTTGGAAGGTATGCACATCTCACTCCATGAAGACGTGAAATCACAAAGTCTCCGATCACCGTACCAAAGTACTCTACCTTCCAGTGACAAAGTGCAATTGAGCAAATCAGCAGGCACGAGAGAACACGAAAACCTCGAGACGTATGCTGCTCAGTCATGCGGGTACAACGGAGATCGACGGGACGTTGAAAGAACGGTCAACAAAGCAGCCCTTGCTCTTTCACAACTATCTTTACTTGAAGTTGAAGGGTAGTGGAGCAATCACTCTTCCAGAAACGTTTGGCGGGAATTGGATTTAAAAATACGAAAGAGGTTAGACAAAAAGGACGGACAGGACAAACATCTTTCGTGAAAAGCTTGCGAGGGAAAAACGAAACGCTGTAGTAGGCGATAGAGTTCCTGTATAGGCTCCCTACCAGAGTTGCACATTTGTTTTCCCCGCGCCGCCACGCCGCTATTCGCCGAGATCCATCACGTGAGGAGCAAAGCATCCGGCGCCGTGTAAGAGAGCCACCTTTACGGTCGCTCCGCCGACGTTTCTCTTGCCCCGGCGTATGTTTCCCTGCTCTCCGCCTCCTTTTCCTCCTCTCCTGTTTTCCATGCGCGGCGGCGCGCGCGGCGCCGCTATTCGCCAAATTTAGCCACGTGAGGAGCAAAGCATCCAGCTCGTGCGGGAAAGCCGGCGCTACGGCCACGCGCCGAGGCTGAATGCGCAACTCTGCTACCGTAGGTAGCTATACAGGAACTCTAGTAGGCGACGAAAAGGAGCGCGCTCTATTGGTTGGAGCTGGTTTTTGCGCTCATTTTGAACGACCTTGAGCGCAACGAGAGACACAGTATTCGCCACGTTGTCTGTTCGGCAGCCGCTGCCCAAGCCAGTTTTAATTTGAAAACAAAACTTTTGAGCCAGTATGCAGCTGAAGAACGAATGCAAGTGTTTTCTATGATGCAGTTGTTGTTAAAAGAAGTTGATACAAAAAATTGTCCAATCGGCAAGCAACATGCGGTTCTCTTCGATTCCACTCACTATTTCCATAATTCCCCGCGGCTCCCATTGGTGGCGTTAGCGTTTCAAAAATCGCAGATCGATTGCGCCGGGGTGAACCAAATCCAGAAACTAACCAAAACAGAACCATACGATACATGCTCTGCTGCAATACATTTTGCCCCAGAGCCATACCACAGGACAAATAATGACGGTTTCGTATTTTCAGCGTTTTGTCTGATGTCGCTACGTAGAACAAAATATTTATGTTCATCCGCCTTTATTACCATCAAATATCTGAAAGGTTATGTAAATGTGTGAGCAGTGATGCTATAAAGTGAGCAGAAGTGCAACAGCAGGAGTATAAGAAACATTTACTGCAGATGGTTGCTTGGGCCTTTCCAATTTGACATCCTCGGAGAGGCATCATCCCTATCAACTCTCATTTTTGCTAATACAGCATAAGATGACAATAAACACCGAATAATCAGGAAAACTTTTGAAGTTTATTTCTAACAATCCGTCAACAATGTATCCAGTGTAGTTTTTTCGGTGTTTTTCTTTAAATACCCCGAACCCTAAGATACCGGTTTAGAGCACCAACTGACATTCTTGAAGCAGACGCAAACATATGTTAGCCCATCACATGAACGTGAAAATATGATAGCATCCTTAATGCCCGTTGATATCTGATAATGATTGAGGGTTCCTTTCTGATACTGAAGCATGTTACCGATAATCTTCTGTAGTAAGAATAGATAGGACCAAGAACATACAGCCTTCTTTAGAAATCAGGCTCAGGTCAGTCGGAGTAGGTTCAATTTACAATGGGTGTTTAAAAATGAAGCCTATCACAACACTTCAGTTAAGATAGAGTTTTTCTGTCCCTCCGTCTTTTACATTAGGTAGTTAATTTAGCCTGTAAATATAATTCCTGTAAAATTCCGGCAAAAAATCAGCATACCCGCTAAAACGTCTATCAATAAAAAATACCCCCCCCCCCCCACACACACACACACATACACCTCAGTTTCTTGTACTACAAAAACAACCACCCGCAAATATTATGAAAACCTACATTGGTACTTTAAAAGTAACATTGTGCTTTAGCGCCGTTAGAACCAGAGTTGAGCCAAAGTTTGCTGCCCTTGCGATTGCCCGCTGCACTAATGTATTAATTCAAATAGAGTACCACACTTTTTTCTCCTTTCTCGGCACAGCTTTTTAAATCAGAGATCAAACTACACTTTACATTTTCTGAGCGAGAGCTAAAATGAATAAGAATTAAATTAGTCTCTCTACCTGCACCACCAAACGGTATAACAGGTTTAAACCAATTAAGAATAAATATATAGGGTCGAATAGGACCAAAAAGAAAATTTGGATGTAAAAGCCAATCCACCTACAGTCGAGACCAAAGAAGGTCATAATTTCCGAACCAATCGCGCTAACCCATGCGCTCCCCCACGTCAGCCACTGCTCCTAGCACTCCGGTGCAAAGCGGTGAAGCTCGACGCGCGCACGCTGGTACGAGACCATGAACGTTGAGGCGAGCGGCGCACGTGCTACGGTAAATTGTAGCCACGGCATGGAGGCATGTGGCAGACACGATAATCGAGTGATATCATTGAAAGTAAAATACCTTGGTTCTGTCTCGTTACAGTAGCCGCCATCCATATATTTTGCACATTTTTGCTCGCGACTCTTAGCTCCCGACATCGCCGACATTGTCTGGAAATTCAGCCCATGACGGAGTCAGAGCAGTTGACGAGCAACCTCTACACTTCATTTCATCCTAAGTCAAAGCGCAGGCGACGCTACGAGCCAATGGGACCAATTAAACAGCATCAAAAGTGTGACATCATGACATTCGTCACCTATCTGTGCAAGCTCTTTCATACACTAAACAAATCAAGCGCAGAGAATGCCCCTAGACCTGCACTCTTAGTATGTCTTTGCGATAGTATGTTTTTGAGCTTTCAACTGTGTTTTGACCTAAGGTGAAACAAACTATACGGTGGTAGGGCAGATGCTCTGAAGTACATATTTGTACCATTTTCGTTTCCTTCTGCTTTTCTGAATGTCAGAATCGACCAATAATAAAATATATTTATTTTGCGCTATGTTTAAGGATTGCCTCGGCGCAGGTGTGGTGCAATTCTTAGCAAAAATGGCATTTGGCGCAAAATGTAGCAGACTCTCGTTTGTGGTGCAGTTTGGCGGCGCAGCGCTGAAATCACTGAAATCATATGTTTTGGATTCCAGGTAAGCGACGAGCAAGCACTGCTCAGCTCCAAGGTCATAGCACAGAAGGAAGAGACAGAGGGTCCCAGGGGAGATCCAACAGGACTGCGCTACATGTGAGAACTGCAGCGATCATCGTCGTTGGTTGTGTCGATCCCTCTGCAACAGACTGCGCAAGTATTTCGTGGAGCCTCTTCGGACTGAATCGGTCGCCCACAAGATCCAACACAAGTGTCACAATGCGGACCAGTCCATGTGTAGTGCCAGCACCGTGTAAAGTGCTTGTTTATGTGCGTCCCAGTGTTCTGTGAAGATTGCATCATTTGCAAGTAGACAAGTGTGGACGGAGAGCGTGGGCAGAGGCATAAGCAAATCGAGTCTTTTATGTGGATAATCAATGTCTTTTTGTGTAGCTTCGTGTAAAATTTGCGTCGTGTGTTGTTGGGGGTATTTCATCAGCCACAAAAGTTTTGTGTATAGATGAGAGAGCTTTATACGATAGCAAATGTACAAAGGAGAAGTTCCCGTAAGTGCATCCCCCACCACTGTCAAAAGAAGATTTTGACGGGTGGTGTTCTTAGAGAAAAATTATGTTATCTCTGTTGACCGTGGTTGCAAAATGCTTCATTTAAGTCTTACTAGAGTAAACAAGAGACAAAAACATGCGCAATGCCCCAAGCATATCCGATCGAGAGAAATACTAACATCTCAGACCACGACAGAAATGAACACCCACGTTTTATGTCATAGCATTCTTAGCAACTCTAGAAAAAGGGTATATGCGGTAAATTTAAAGCTATTTGCTAGCTCCCAGAGAATGTGACAGGAAGCAGCTTTTTAGTAGACAGTGAGAAGACTTCTAAACATTTGTGTAAAAATAATCGGCACTGCACCCATGTGCACTTTATTTAACCAGGCTCCTCGGACAATGAATGGAGTGTGCAATGAACAACCGGTTCCAGCAATAAAAGGTTCATTTCTTTTTGAGTTTCCCAAGTCTCCAGTTTGCTTTCTTCTTGCCAAATTTGCGTTCTGCTGCCCTCCTTGCCAACTTCCGCTTTGACATCATTATCTGGAACATGGGAAATGCAAAGTCAAATAGAAAACTGTATTAAAACTGTTTTCCATTTGTGCCTGGCACCTAAACAGGTGCAACGAAGGGAAGTTAAAAAAACACAAATATGATCAAGCATTTGGTTATGAGAACAATAATGTATCGCTGTCATAACCATTACACACTTTTGTCACATCACATGTACCGGTTACGACACCAACGCACGCCTTCAACCAATGCTCCGAGCGCACAATCCCTCGTACGATCCCGCACGTCGTGTCACAAAACTTTTGAAATCCAACTTCGCACAGCGTGGCATCCCGCTCTACGCTTCAAGAGACCAGGTCCCTCGGAACACTTTTAGGGTTCCCCGAGGACCCTAACTTTCTCTGCCGTCCCCATTCTAAAGTGTAATCCTTCGCCAATTTCCTCACAACGCAATCAAATCCGAGCCACAAACCGAGGCATCGTCGTGAGCCAAGCAACCCCACCTTTGTGCCTGCTCTGTGCAGTGTCGTAAACGAGGTTTCTAAGTGCGCAGGTCTTTATCCTAACGATAACACCAAAAAGGTGATGTTTGCCTCTTGGCCATCCTTGGAGATAGCTACAGGTTAAGGCTGGTTCACACACTCACGTTCAAGTAGACTTGAGTATGTTGCATTCGCTTGCGAAGAGAGAACACACAAGTACACTGGTGCCTTTGATCCATAACTAGACCGAAGGTTCTCCAGCATCCGCAAGATCGAATCTATGCACTATCTATGAGAAATGGTTGCTTATAACATTGTCGGAATTACTTCGAGCCCACTGCGAAAGAATGATGCGTAAAAGATAATGAAAATACACCCGCCAATCGAAAGGGTTCCAGGGGCCAATGTCTGTTCAGCGGTTCAGAGAAAGCACGTCGCACGTGAGCCGTTATGCCGGTCTACGGCTAAGCTGTGGCACTGGAACGGTCGCGCGAGTAACTCACAGGTAGCAGCTTTGCCTTGGTGGCCTGCCAGTTCTCTCGGATGGTGTCCGGGTCGCTGCGGCAGCGGAAGAACCGGGCGCCTTCTGCAAAGCACGTCCACGCAAGAGAGCATGAAAGTTAACTGCCCGGAAGCCTCGGAACGGCTACCGACACCTTCCCGAGATGCCTAGCTTCTTTAAGAGTTTAACGAAAAGCATTTTTTGTGTCATCAAGTACCCGCATGCCAAACTTGAACCTCCGCGTCACATCAAATTGGAAGTGAAAATTGCCACTTGAGCAATTAACTGCAAAACAGGTGACAAAAAAAGTTATTTGTTTACTTTCATTTGAAAATTGCCACACTATGTGACATTACTGTAACGGGGAAAGGAAATGGCTCGCTGAAACTCCCAACCTTTAGGAAATATGCCGGCTTCTTAAAAAGAGCATATTTTTCTAAATGAAGTGCCTGCTTGCTTTGCATTGGCTATTTGCACACAGGCAGGAGTAGGACACTTTCTTTTTCAGTTGTAGAAGGCAACATGATGTCTGGAAAAAAACTGTGACAGGCTGGCGCAACCCAGGTCTTAACGGAATACCGACGTGTCACTGCAAAAGAAAAGTCCTCACAGACTCTACTTTTCACAACCTGCAGTCAATAGTATACTCTAAAAACCTTTATCTTTGCGGCCCCAATTTTTTGTGGATCGGGGTAGAGGAGCGATCCCTAAATCAAAGAACCCCTCCTGGCTAAGGCCAGGAGGGGTTCTTCGACAACGAAAATTTTGAGAACACCTTCTCGAGACGATGAAAACATTTGCGTGCCTTGAAAGTTTGCACAATTTTCAAATTCGCAAAAATTCGGGGCTCATAAACATTAATGCCAAATGCCACAATTTCAGGACACAAGAAGCAAAGCAGCAAGCAGAGAATTCACAGCAGCATCAAAGAAAACTCTTTGCTGTCACAAACTTGCACTAATGACCAGACGTTTCGGTCCCTCCTCTGCACAACTCCGTTTCTAGGTTTTGAGATCGCAACTCAATGGCGGTACAACAATGACAGCACTACACAAGCAGCGTGAACTCCTAGTTATCCTTTCATATATTTAATAAAGAAGCTTGAAGTCACTCCTCGGCAGCATTAATTGGGATACAGAGGACCCCATAATCATAGTTCATTAGCTCGCTAGGACGTTTACTCTGTACCAGAACCCCAAACATGGAAAGTAAACTCTGACCATGCAAACAATTCTTTGCTATCCATGGACAGGGCAAGGCAGAAATAAAGATATTAAGCGGCAGTATTTCTTTAAACACAGAATGCAGCAGAGCAGCGGGGAATAACTTAATAAAGAACTCTAAGTTGCCTTCGCGGAAAAACTTGAGCCCAGCTTTTTGTTTCTTTTGGTAAACTTATCCAAGTTACCTTAATTATACCAAAGTTATCAAAATACAGTCATGTCCCATTAATATGGACACCGTTAATATGGATACCACGCTAATATGGACACCACTTTCGGGGTCAAACAGGGAAAATACACCCATATTTGTCTCGTTATTATGGACAACTCAGATTAGGGACGATTTTTTGGGGGAACAGAGATGCCTATATTAATGAAAAATCACTGTACCTTTCACCTGCTATGCCTGTATCATACCTGTTGCCCTTAGTAAATGTTCCATTCAGCTGGAGTTTATCAGTCAAAAAACAGACCACTACTAATATAAAACCTCTGACATAACAGTGCTATGCAAATTCCACTTTGAGGCAAAATAATGTGCATCTAAAGCACAGTAACCTGCAATGACACTGTTCAATAATCACCCTATAGCCAGCAGGGCAAACATACTGCAATGGCGGAAGTGTGCAAACCCAAGAGGAGAAACACCTTGCTTCCCGCTGCTTAAAGACGACGGTAGGTAGCTCGTGCAAGCCGGACCAAATGGGACAATTCTCTAGTTCTCTGACAGACGGGTTCAGCTGTAACACGTCCATCAGCACACGGAGCAGTGCCAAGGTAACTTACCGAGCAGCCTCCGATCTCCGGGAACAAAAAAAAAGAGCGGCCGATCCACTTCTGTGGCAAACCGCTCGTCGTCCACCTCCTTGATCACTGCATCATTGCTGCAAGAAGAAAAGGAAGGGGACTACTGCTTTAAAGGGGCAGTGCAACGGTTTTAAAGTTGAAAGAATTTCCAGTTTATATTTTTTATATTGTTTATACAAGCCCAAGTGACCAAAAACGCGTCACCTTTCCCCAAAAAACGACTATTCTGCTACGTTATCGCAAGGCAAAAAAACGAATTATTTGCCGATCTGCAGCCGCCAGTGGCGGCTACGGGAACTAAAATGACAGTGTCTCTGGGGGATACGCGGAAGTCAACAAACCCTGTCCCCCTCCGCTGCTACACTCGCCGTCAGCCTCGTGGCGAAGTGTCCTTTGTGTCGATCGCTCGCCGCGACCTTCGACGAGGCTAATCCTTTGAAAGTCGACAATCGCAGAGGAAGCGGCTGGGGTCTCTGAAGAGAGGGCCCAAGGGAAAACCACGTGAACCCCCAGAGACGTCACTTGAAAGTCGGCGTGGAGTTGAGAGACACTTCGACCTTCGATTTGTTCCATTTTTTTAAAATAAGAACTAGCGCTCGCAAGAAAATGCGGCTTTCGGTTTTTCGTTCCATAGGTGACGCAGATTAATTTACGCAGTTAATTGGCCAAAGTCTGAAAATTGTTGCACAGCCCCTTTAAAGGCTGGCCGTTCCTCGGCGAGTCTATTACTTGGTGATGTGCATGCCATCATTCCTCACATCAGTCAAAATGACTCAAATAAAACAATGCTGAACCAAGTGGTGGACTGCCCCTGACCCGTTATTGAACGTCGAAAGATTGATCAGTCCTTAGAAGGGTAAATCTGTGAAATTTAAGTATGGTCAAGGGGAAGCAGACAGATAGCTCTTTCAGATGCAAGGTAGAATTAATGTGCAAGGAAGTGAGCGAATTAAGAAGGAACACTGGTCTTGGACCTTTCTTTCCTACTATTTTTTAGCCAAGCCCAATAAAACAGCACAGGCTCGTTCACATTTCTGTGCTGATTTCAAATATCTGTTACTTTTTTCAAATTGGTAGGTTAGTTGTCAGGATAATTATAATTAACAAGACTGTTTCCAGAAACAATAGCAAAAAAACATTTTTAAAAAGGAATGTTTTAACATGTCGTCAGATACTACAAATTATGAAGAATACAATGTTGGGAGCACTTTTTAGATTGAACCATTATTAGTGACTTTTCAGCACATTGAAGTTCAGTGCTCAATGCGTGGCTACCAAGCAATAGAACAATAGCTTTGTTCGATTTACCTGCACTGGTGCAAAAAGTCATATCTCGGTACACATACCGGAATTCCTTACACCTTTATGCACCGTGCAGGAGGTGCAGGTAAATCGAACAAAGCTAATAGTTCAGTTAAAACTTTTTTTAGACCTATGTCGAAAAATCTGCTTCCAACATTACATGCTTTGCACATCTAACTACATGTTGCTAAACAAGTTATATTTCAGTCTGCCCTAGATGCTGAGATATTCCTCCTAAAAATTTATGACGAGTCCAAAATTTGTGTTTTGAGAAAGTGTTGTTTTAGCATCAGCTTCAGTGCAACTTCAACTCACATAGACATTATATATAAATGATATGTCTCAAATATTAATCTTCAAAATAAGAAACTTTGCAGATCAAAAGAAAAATACCTGTAAATTTAGAAATCACCATTTTCCAATTTTTTAGCGATTGTTTGACTCTATGGAGACATGTCTACCCTTAACAAATAAAAAAAAGATTGGCCATCCCGTTTTTCTGGCTAAATATTTGTGGCAAGAAACTACCAAAATGTCCCACACCGCATTGAATTCATGCAATGTCCAACAAGACTCCCCGCAGCCGCCATGCTCCAGTTAATATAGAATGCGCTCGAGTTCAAAACCGATTAAATTTGGAGGGAAATGCTGGGTCACGCCTCCAAGGTGATAAGCGGACAGCCAGCACATAATTTTACCGCAAATCAGCGTAGCTAGAAATATGATAAACATAAGAGAAAAAAAAAAGAACTGCAACCGGCGAGTTAAATTTTCTATTCACCGATGCCACCTAGCCAACAGCACCAGAGGCATGCAGCCGATTTCATATAAAGAACCTTGGAAAACAGCAGTCAGAAGATGCATATATGCGCACCATATTCACCAATGTATGATCGTACAACGAGGCATAAAAAAAATGGAAACACCCAATTTTGCATGCTGCCCTTAGCCCATTTTGGAGGTTGAACAACAGCAAATGTGTTCGATCTACACACGCCTTTGACCTTATCCAAGAAATTCCTGAAGGGCATCGCTGAAGCACTGGGGCGACCCAGACACCAGAAGAGCCCCGCCACTCACCTCTGAGGTAGTGGCTGCCTGCCCGCCTTTGCCGCAAATGCCGCTCCCTCCGTGCCGACGCCGTCTTCCTCCTCTTCCGAAGAGTCGTGCTCAAAGGGCGTTTGCTCCCACGGATTTACCTTGAGTCTGGACTTGTCCACAGACTTCACGGTGTCTCTGTACTCCTCCTCTTCCATGCCCTTCGCCCTTTCGTTCTCCGCAAAAGGGTCTTGCAAGGAAAACAGTCGAATGAGAGGTTACTACGTGACTATTTCCTATTGTTGCAATGTGGCAGTCAGTGTCATTGCTTAGCATATCGGAGGCACCCTGTGCGGAACTTTACCCTTTCGGCTAGACGTCAACCGCGCCGGCTCGTATTGCCATTGACTGTACCGCAGGCAACCATTGAGATGAAAAGAAGACTACAGTGAAAGCTCGTTAATTCAAACCCCATTTATTCCACATTTTTTTAACAATTCAAACAAACTCTCGTGGTCCTACCCCGCTGCATAAAGATCTATATATAAAAAAAATTTATTCGCTCACGAAATAGTTTTGGCACCGATAATTCAAACTGCGTGCCGTGCTATGGCACCGCCGTGCGTGGCTTAGGGAACTGCCGATGGCAGCCTTCGCAACCGAGTCATAGGTGGCATGGCCATCGTAACTCACATACAGAGCCTGTATTACAGAGTTTCCAAAAGCTCGATCGGGATCATGTGGCTTAAGGGTCGCAATTGCAATACGAGCTGCAAGGAGGGGGGACGAACACGTAAATTGTCTGGGAGTGTCTCCACTCTCCACCTTTCTGCCTGCTTTCCTCCTCGCCATGCGACAACGCAGCGCATGCATACTTGCGACCGATCGGCAAGGGAGGCCTCCAGCATTAAATTGCAAACGCTTCACATTGTTTGAGATGTACCCTCTCTTTAATCTAAGCTCTCTACTATCCCACCTTTTTTTTTTCTTTTTTTGTCATCTCAGTTTACTGTTTTTTTTTTTTTCTTCGAGTCTTTGTCTGGTGTGCGGGTTCGAGCACATCTGTCTGAGCCATATCAATATCCGACTGCAAGCTGTGTCGCCGTGCCACCTTCACCTTCGCGATGTCATTGGTTCGTGGAAAGTACCGTGCCAAAAACGTTTAAAGAAAAAGTAGAAATTCTGTGCAGACTCGATACAGTCGATCCTCATTATTTCAAACTAAGAAGCAGGTCCCATCTTATGCGTCTCCATGGGAGGAAACTCCCAATAATTCAAACTTTGCTTTCTTCAAACAAGTATTCGGCCCCCTCGAGTTTGAATTAACGAGATTCAACTGTACTGGGAGTGCGAGCAAGTTTGAGATCGCAAGGCAGTATGAGATCCCCAAGAGCATGTTGTCAACGTACCGTATTTACTAGAGTAATAGCCGCACTATTTATGAACAAGGCCCTTGCGTCTACTTTCGCACAGAACAGATATAGAGCCAATCATTGCGCTGCGCAGAAGTAACATAGCGAATAACCAGATCCAGAACACGATGCTCCATAGAAATAGAATCTTCACAGATGGTGTCTTCGCACGAAAACGTTATCTCTGTCCACTAAACAGCTGGAATCATGCTGTCCATCGCGGTGATTGGCAATCTGCGTGCTCCGCAAAAAAGTGAACCCTTAGGTTTTCTTCATGAACAGTGCGGCTATTCCTCGAGTAAATACGGTACGTTCGAAACAAGAAGAAAGTCTAAGATGCCTACAAAGCTGAAGCTTTTCCTTCTGAGCAATTGTCCCACTAATTGTGGACAATTGCTCACCTCACAAGGTTCACATAGAGCCGAAGGCTATTAAATTAACTTTCCTTGCACCAAATACGGCTGCAGTTCTGCGAACGACGAACCAGGGTGTCGTAAAGAATACAGTCATTCTACAGGCGCCACATGCTCGAACGGCTGATTTTGCACACAAGGAACCAGAACTACTACTCCGTGACACTCCTCACTGCGATGCAGGTGCTGGTGTAGTTCTGGAATCAAGTTTCAGCAGCAACAATCGCCAATTGTCTTCGCCACTGTGGCTTTAGCGTTGCAAGCACGGAGGCGACAGGTGACTCCGTACAGCACATGGCGGTTTCTGCGAATGTGCTTGAGGTGCTGGAAGGCGTTAGTTGTCGACGCGGACGGCAGTGTGTGGTGCCCTGAGATACAAGGGTTGCCGGTGAAGAACCCACTGAGGAAGACAAGAATGACGAGGAAGACGAGGAAACACCAGCCCGGCCAAGCGCGTCGCAGGTTATGGAGGCGCCCATTGTTGCGATCTTCTTCTTCGGTTACAAAGAAGGTGAAGACACGTTCCGCTACATTCGCGCACTTGAACATGGGTTGATGCAAGTCACCTACCAAAAGAAGACGCAGAAAGTGATGACTGATGTTTTAATAAAGTTGTCAGTTTCTGGCGTTTCCCACTGCTTTAGATGCAGATATGTGTCTTTTTTCTTCGACTTTCGTTGGTTTGAACTTAGTTTAATTTACATTTTTTTAACGTCCCCTTGAAATTCGAATTATTGAGCTTTTACTGTATTCAGTTATACTCCACGAGCACGGAGCTCTGGTGTCTATTTCAGCAGGAGATGTCGCGTCCTAATTTCAGAATTTGCCGAAAAACGTTGGTGCAAACCAGGCTTCGATAAACGTGAAGTGTTAGCTGCCTTTTGACCGAAGGCAGTAACAAATAAAGAAATAGCTTTGGTGGAGTAACTAAGACAAATCTGTACAAGGTACTCAAATTCCTGGACTGAATCTCAAGAACAACCTTAACCAGACACTCGTAACCATTAGGCTAATGCACCATGTACAAAGGCCCAAACGATTAAAACTCTCGAAGGTTAGTTCTAGATATTCAATAGATTTAAGTGACTGCGACATAATCCGAATTAATCCCTCGGTTGCTAATCACGAGTGTTTCTTATGCCGTCCATTTAGGGCCAGAATGCCCGACCAGGAGTCCGGCTTGTGTTTCGGTTTCAGAGCTTGTTTTCTGTGCCCTCTGGCAGATGGTGGCACTACCACTATTGCTCCACCCCATGTTATTTTAATGTTTGCTCCAAATTCCCAACAAGCAAAAATTTTATTATCTCAGGAAAAAAAAAAAAGAAATTGACGTCTAGTCTATGTACTACGTGTGTAGGGAGAGGTAATACAGCCTTAAAATTCAAATTCATTGTGAAGATACACTTTAGCTGAAGACTGAAGAATAAATACAAAATAGTTAATTTGGAAGTTATGAGTTTTTTCCGCAATGAGTCGTGCCACCTCTCTGATGACTCGAAAACTTTATTTAAAATCAACAATTTGCACGAAAATTTTAGAAGCCTTCTACATAGTCTCCAGATGTTGTCTGCTGCTCTCCATCTCCCTGCACGGTTCCAACATCGTACAGTGAGGAAGTACCAAATGGACGCATCAGATGGCCAGGAATTGTAGCGAGAGCAACTGACAACAACTGGAGGCAAAGTGCAAGTTTTCTTTCATTCCAGCGCAAACTGCCGATTTTAAAGAATGAGTCGTGGTATGTTTCACGAACACAAAAATTAGCATGCAACGGGTTAGGAGCAATTCAAATTACCCGAAAGACGCAAACAGACTCAAACTTGTGGCTAACGCATAAACGGTAAAAGCCAAGGGGTGGGCACGCAATTATACACAAACACGCGAGATACGGGTGCCGATGACGCAGACTGCAGTGCAATCGTGCTTGGGACCTCTCGGTCTCCGGCATAAGCTTTTGCTCCGCGTGCTCTAAACTGCAGCGTCGCGACATGCTCGGCCGAGGTTCTCAACGAGATGCCTACGTTCCCGGACTCACCGATTACGCCGTTTCCCAGCTTCCGCTCGAACAGGTGGGAGAAGCTGAACCCTTCCGCCCCCTGGGCCCGTCCCACGTCCAGGGCGCTTTTGAGGGCGCCGCTCACCTCGTAGAACTGCTCTCCGGACACCTCGGGGGGCGGAGCCGTCTCGGGCACCTGCTCCGCCCCTTTCTTCTTCCTGCGGGAGGGCGGGGAACGCCAGTCACTCGGTGGCTCCCTCCCCCAGTAATTTCGAAGATTCGACTGAGTACGCCAAAAGCAAAGCTTCTAGGGAACCGGGGAAACGTGAGCCTCGGTGTTTCAACGAGACTTCATCGCCTTCTAGGGCCCGCTTCGGAAAGCCAACTTCTCCCAGCAACTTGACGTCGCAACGCCGGCAACACGGGCCGCCCGCGTTCGCATGCAGCAACCGAACTGCCACCATTTGCATGATCAACATTGTTAAATTTTATTTTTCTTGGACCATTTAGGTATGCAGTTACACATTATAAAAGAGTTTTAATACCTATAAATGGCATTGAGAGTACTAATTCGTCTTTTCAAAACGATTTATTCCCAAAATATATCCATTTTCATACCAGAACAAAGCCTTTAGTTGTCGTCGTCACCGCCACGGGAGTGTCACGTGAAAATATTGCGTCCCCGATTGCTGTTGCCACTTCAAACGACTCCGAGTTGTTCGAGTTAATCGTCCGTTTCGAGCCGGACGCGACCTCAGCAATTTGTGTCGCAGCGCCAAAATCTAGGGACAGCCAGGGAACAACTTGCCAGCAATACCGAAATGGCTGGGAAAGCTGCCCTGTCTGAAGCGGGCCTAATAGAAACACCAAGACGCTCATCTTCGACTAGAACCACGCCCCAAGCACTGTTCGTGTTCATGTTGGCGATTCGTTCGTTGGACCCACCGCTTGCATCCCATTTTTTTTGCTCTTTCGCCACGTATATTGTGTAAATACCAATGCACCGTGAAACATTCAAAAACCGCAGACAAGAAAGTCATACTTGGGCTTTGGCAAGGCATCCGACTTGACCACAAACTTGGAAGACGCCTCTTTCGCCGGGTCGAAGCGCAGCCGAGACGTGTCCCTGGAAAAGGAGCGGCATTCGTACAGGCATGCAAAAGCGGCTTTGCAGAATACGACACTACTTTTCCTTTCAGATATTGTTGGCTGAATCTGTTCCGGTAGTAGAGGCACTCTAGTCCAGCGAGAAGGGCAGTCTCTTACTTGAAGACTGGTTTCGGACGAGTCTTGGGTCCCTCCCCCAACTGGCCGCCCAGAACGTCCCGCAAGATGTTCAGGTTCCGGGATCGCTCATCACCCACCTCCGCAGAGTTGACTTCTTCGTCTTTGGTGGACCGGAAAAAATGCGAGACAGCGCTCGTCACTTCTTGTTCGGGAAACAGAAGTTGCTGGTACGCTCCGGGGCAACAAATTTCCCCAAAACTGCCGTCGGGCTAGCAGCAGGACAGGAAAGCAGCAGAAGGTAAAACGAAAACCTAGCCCAGCAGGGTTCAAACCCTGCGCCTCCGCGTAGCAGCTGCTTGCACTGCAAACTTGACCGCGCACATGGCGACATGTCTCTAAATGGAGATCTTGTCAGCATCAGCCTCACGCCACTACCACGCTAGAAGTAACAACAAATATCAGCTGATTGTTACGAATAACTAAGAGAACTAGATCAATAAAACAAATTCTGTAAGGAAACTAAATGGCTAGAAAACAGCTGTACAACACAGAACTCTATTTGGAGTACCGTATTTACTTGCATAATGAACGCACCCCCCAAGTCGGCTCTCAAAATTTTGACCCCCTCCCCCCACGCGCGCGAAATGAACGCACTTTTTTATCCTGGTGCAGCGAGGTCGCGAATGCATGGGCAGTGTGGGCGAACAAAACACCTTGCAAAAGGCGTTAAAAAATTCGCAAAGATCCAACGGAAGCAAGAAAAAAAAAAACATGGAAAGGAGCTTTTTCTTTTTTTGTACAGCACAGTCTGGATTTTAGGGTTCGCGCGCCGCCGCGCGCAAGGAGGTAAGAAAGAGGAGCGGAGAAGCCCTCTAAGCAAACGAAACAACTTGCGAAAGGCGGCAAAAAAAAAAAAAAAAAAAAAAAAACACGGAACTAAAAAAAAAAAGAAAAGAAAAAAAAGAGGAGCTTTTTTTTCTTTTTTCTTACAGCGCAGTTTGGTTACGGGGGGGGGGTCGTGCATCGCGCGCACGGAGATAAGATAACCGGAGAGCCCTCGTCTAAGCAAACAAAACAACTTGCGAAAAGCGGCAAAAAAAAAAAAAAAACACACAAAAAAAACAAGGAACTAAGGGGAAAAGAAAACAAAGAGGAGTTGTTTTTCTTCTTTTTTTTTTTTACACAGCTTAGTTTGGTTACGGGGTCGGGCGCCGAGCGCAAAGAGATAAGAAGTTACTTCGATTTTTCAGGATAAAAGGTCCGTTCATTATGCTGCGAGTAAATACGGACGCAAAAATTTTACTTCGCGTAATGAACGCCCCCCCCCCCCCTAACTTTGCATCGATTTTTCGGAAAAAAAGTGCGTTCATTCTGCGAGTAAATACATACCGTATTTACTCGCAGAATGAACGCACTTTTTTTCCGAAAAATCGATGAGAACGTCCAATGTCAAGGAGTCCTGTAACCTAAACTTATGACACTGTGCTACTAGAGTATAGACCACTTACAACATAACCGCTTATAGTGCAGGACCGGGTATAACGCGGCTTTTTTAAACCACCGGTTCGCCTCCCATAGAACTCCATGTAATTACATACCGCTTAAAATGAAGGCGCGCGAAGGGAAATACCGGTTATAGTGCGGTTTCTGGAACAGCCTGCCGACCGCAGCGACCAACTGACGCAGCGAGCACGCTTCCCTGTGCGACACTAGATAACGGCGCGAGTTGCAAGCGGCACTCGCGGGGCAAGGAGGTTGCTCGAAGAAGCGGGGAGAAGCGAAGAGAGAGGCTTCAGTTGCCATAGCGATGAAGGGACGCACGCACGTGTCGTTCACGTGCGTGCTGCGCGTCCCTCTGCTCTGTGCGTTGGAAACAACCGCAACGACAGACCAATCGCAGGTCGAGGAGAAGTGTTCGTGCGCGTTGCATGCCGGTCGCGGGCCGGCCGGCCGGCTGCTTCTATCCGCAAACACGGCGTCGGTTGCGATCGTCGACATAGACAGTGTGGTGGACGCTCATCGTTCGCCGTAAAAGCGCTATCCTTGACTGTGAATTTTCGTTGTGTGTCGCTATGATAACCCAGCACGTACTAGGAGGAAAGATCCACCTATCCGTGCGGCGATGTTGGTGACACTCTCAAGACGGCAGAAACGCCCGTGTCATTGTGTTTGTTTACTTCGACTACAGTGGTGCTTTCTAAGCATTTGTGTTTTCGAACATCGCCCGGATTTCTTATTTGGAGCATTTCATGCCCGTGCTCAAGTTGATGGTATTACGGGCACGTACCGTAGAAGGGATGCGAATTTTCACGCGTTTTCATCGCCGGAGAAAAGTGATTAGGGTTAGCAATCCTGAATGCTCACAACGACCGTCCGCAACCCGCGACGCCGTTAAAAGGCTGCGCCAGGCAAAAGTCGCTCATTTCTTTCAAAATGTGTGACACACTTGAGAGAGAAGTGTACTAGTCTGGTGAAATAAAGACTTTCCTCAAACTAAGCTTTATTTTTCATCTAACATAAAATAAATTGTTTTCAAAGGTAAGTTGTCTCATGGCATGTATTTTGGCCTGAAAAATTGATGTTTTCGTTATAGCGTGGAACCGCTTATAGTGCGGATTTTCGCGACTCCCGCGACATACGTCATACGCGGTATACACTGTACTAGGTGGCTACCCTCGCATTTCTTAACGCCCAATGAAATTAAACTCGCGCATTTTTTTTTGCCGGGGTTTGCAGCGCAACACGGTGAAAAGAGGGTTGGCATCAGGAGGCAACAGGTCCAAAGCAAACAAACATAACCACTTCTGGCAGTAAACTTGTCATGTCTTGTTTCTGTCACGCTAATACACTCGCTCAAATCGCTCTGACCGGCCTAGACCAGTCCAGAAAGTTTACTGGGAGTACAACCGGTGCAGCACAGCTTATTTTTGATACACTAGGCTACATTCAAAAGTCTAATCAGATGGCGCACGCCAGGAGTACAACAGTGCAGGTGTAACTAAGTCAAGTGAAAGTAACGTCGGTAGGAACCTACAAAACTTATCCCTCAAAGAAAGAAAAAGGACACAGCTTCACCCACCGTGAGAGTCGTCACCATCCTCGTCACTCTCTAGAAAGCGTTCGTTCAGCCTGAACCTCTCGTCCGTTCCAATCCTTGATTGGAGGGCCAGCACCTGAATGGAAAGATATTGCCGGCTCTGTCATATTCGGTACTAAACACACGCGCGCACTCGCATGCGCCACATTCCCCACCGTGCAACGGACGAACGCGGCTACGCAAACACCGTGTCAGTGGTTGGCTTGCACTTGGTACCATTCAGTTTGTAGAACATTAAGGTGTGCATTTCTGGCTGTTCAGTGCGGTGACGATCATGGTGAACTATAACAATATCCGCGGCACAGGACATTGTCCCGAATGAAAATGAGCGAAGAAATTTAAGACCGAAAATAAATGTTTGATTGGAGGACTTTGTGCTTGCAACTCAAACAAATTAAACTATTGTGCATCCCACGATGGCAACGAAGGGGCAACCAACCCGAAGCGGTGTGCTACCACTTTTTTTATACATGCAGTGTGTTTAGTAATGCTCTAAACCAGGACACTTGAGACAGACAAGAATGAACTAGAATTTTCTGCAGAAGATACGAGAAAAAAAAACTGGGCTGGCAGGGTTTCGAGATTTCGGTTCAGGTGTCAAAAGACCCCCGGGTGGTTCAAATTGGTCCTTAGCTGAAGTATGCCAGTTGCCCATTTTTGGTTTGGCACGTAAAACTGACAAATTTGTTTGACAGAGATGAGACGGAGGGAGGTCCCTCAGCTACAATTCAATGTTCAAACACTCTGCGGAAAATCGGGAAGTGATCCCAAACTCCGCACAAAGTAACAAACATTAATTTTAGGAATTGGTCGTCCTTCAAGACGACAAATTTTTGAAACAACCTTATTGCAGCAATATAATTGGCCAATGCAGGCGCAACTACAAACTCTTGTTTACATCCCCAGACAGGAACTCAGTATGCTCCCTGGGAGCAATTCGAAATTAAATCCCCATGTCAAACTATGGACAGAGCCCCCGTTGGAATGATCTGCTGGCTCAGTGTATGCATCAGTGACTCCAGTCTTTTTTAGAAGTGCTGTATCATCTGAAATTGTTATGAAATCATTCTATCCTCTTGGACTGGCCACTGCAAGGCCCACTCACAATGTTCCTAAATGTTTTTCCTTTTATGTCTATGTATGCCAATATTCAACAGGTATTCAACAGGTATACCTAGGGCCCCTGCTTGGGCCCTTGAAGAAAGACTAAACCTAGGAAAAAGAAAATATTTTTTTTCCCCTACCTGGTTAGGACAAGCAACCTCAAAATTAATGTTTGTCTAAAAAATTTTTTGTTCCCTACCTTAGGCTCGTCTCAAAATTAATGCCTGTCGAAAAAAATAATAATTTTTTTCGCTTAATGTATATGCTACAATACATATTTTTTGATTTGCGGGCGAAACTGAAACTGTACCCCTGTGGGATGATGATGATAGTGTTTGTAACCAACCAGTGTGTGCTCTGAGGTCCAGTGAACTCGGAGCACACACAAGTTGGGTACAAACGCTATCATCACCATCCCACAAGGGTAGACGGTAGTTTCGGTTTTGCCCACAAATAAAAAAATTTGTATTGTAGCATATACATCGGGAAAAAAAAATTTTTTTTTTCAACAGACATTACATTTTTAAAATTGCATGTCCTTCCCAGGTAGAAAATTTTTTTTTTCCCTTGGTTCAGTGTTTTTTTAAAGGGCAACTCCGCTCAATTTCGGAAATTTTGGGATGAGTGATTTCACACTAAAAAGCACTAATAAAAGAAACCACATCATTTGCTTTGCAAAAAAATGGTATACATATTGTTAAATTTTCCTTAAAAACATGAGCAGAAATCGAAACCGAAACCTTGGCTCCGTCTGGCAGCATTGGCCTTGGGCCGCCAAAAACATGGCTATCACGTGGTACGAGATGTCACATGATTTTCTGCGCAACGACGGGCAGGATCGGGGCGGGCTGGCGGGCCACATTTGGAGCGGTCGTGTGTCAGGTGCAACTGTCATCTGCACTGCACTCTTCCCCTTGTTTTGGTGTCTACCACATTTGACGTCTGCACAACTGCGGCATCAGTCTGCGCACGTAGTGTGAACGAAACTCCAAGTAACGATAAACACAAACAATGAGACTATGAACGGCAGTTGTGGCGCAGGAAAGGGCGGGACGACGGACGGCTCCCAAGCAGCATGTTGTGCAGGTGTGTTACGGCAATTGTGTGGACACCGCTAAGCGTCGAGAGGAAATGTTGCTGACGACACCCGTTACGCTTGTCTGGAGAAATAAAAACAAACAAAATGGGGCAATAGTGAAGGCGTTTAGCTCAATGTTGGCTACGACAATGCCGTAGCCTTGACTGCACTGTTGATCGCACCTCAATTTGCCCACTAATGCTGGAGAGGAGACAACCTCCTTTCCAGCATTTGCTCTGCTAAAGTGGAAAGGGATGAAAGAAATATCCCCTGAACTCCTAACTTGTCACTTACTATAGTTACTCTCGAAGCGAATATTGCATCATTCGAAACTGATATAAGAAAATTCGAATGTCACACAATCCTAAAATATTGCATGATTAATGTTTCCTTTGAGAACAGTTTATTTTGTGACATACATCCGCACCAAGCACTTAAAGGGACACTGACACCCCCCCAAAAAATTTTTTTATTTTTTGCCAGGGGCTTCATTATGGTGTCGGAGGACTACCCAATTAATATTTTGCAACAGAGTAGCGTATTTTTTTAATAAAGCCAAAAGACGCAACTCCTCGAAACCGAAACCGAAACCCGACGGAGGTCGGAGAAGTGGAGAGAAGAGAGTGAGTGGCGGAAGTCACGCGGCTACACCCGACCGTGCGTTTTTTTTTTTTTTTTCCCTCCTCTCCGGTAGCAGACGACAGGACATGCGGCGCGCGATGCGGCGTGCGGGAACTGCTCGCCGTGCGATTTTTTTGCAGTTATGTTTGTTCCGCTCGTTGTTCTGTACTCCAAGATGAGTTGTTTTGTACATTGAGGAGTTGGAGATGAGTAGTGAGTGCCCGTGGTGAATTTCCATGATCGGCTCCGAAAAGAATACACCCAAGATGTTGCGTGAACAGCTGGCTCACATTTCCTGCATCCGAAAAAAAGTGGCATTGTGCGACAGAGTTTCCGAAAGATCAACGGGATCGGGACCAACGGCTGGCTGCAATTCCTGTAGAACATATACGGGCACCTCGGAAAGCGGACGTTACCTGATTTATATGCTCCTTGCATTTTGTGGAAAGTGATTAGATTGAGCTCGCAGGTGTCAAAACGGAAATCCCATACCATTTAATTCAGCGAAGTATCGTCCACAACATTAGTTTGTTATTTTTTTGCTTGTTTCTTCAGTGATGATTGTAAAAATATATCTATATATATATGTAAACATCAAAAAATGTTTGAAAAAAAAAAAAAAAAGTTTCACGGGGGATCGAACCCGGTCCTACCGCGTGTGAACCGGACGTCTTTTCGACTGAGCTACTGGGGCATCGCCTTTCTGGTGAATCTCTTTCCTTAGTAATAATGCAGCCGGTAAACTGTAAGTTGGAAAGTTTGCTGTCGATTTTTCTCTAGCAAAAGCGCTCCCGGGTCGAAGTCGGGAAGCACCACGCTTTGGGGACATTCGCACCTAGTAAAGAAATCGTACGCGTGCATATTGAACTCGAAGTAGACACGTCGTGCTTGACGTTTGCGGGAGCGATGTCTTCAGCCACGAGAAGGGAGCGACGGCTCGGCGACGTCTTCGTACAAATCGGCTTGGTGGCCGGGCGTGTCGTACGGGATGAATACCAATTCTTCTGATCAGTCCCAAATTTCTCTTTTAACGGTAGACAGAATTCGCCGGTACCGCGAACGACAGTTCTGAAATAGAGGTCCCACGCCCGTCGTCCGCTGCCATCACCGTCCCCGCGAGTCCCACGATGATACGCGAAACGACGAACGCACAGAATGCTTCCGGTTGTCTGTGGAACGTTTTTTTTCAATCAACGTATTTACAGCTTTTTAGAAGCCACAAAAAATGGGTTTCATATTTTTTTCTATTTTTAATATTGCGTGTGTGCCTTCAGTGACCCACGACTTCGATTAAATTTGGTGGTCGCATCGATACCTTAGAAAACGGCCCGTGACCGCGAAAAAGAGAGTGAGCGAGACTCGAACCGGCCAGTTCTTGGTCGGCGGTTTTCGGGCGGAAAGAAACCGAATTTCGAGCCGCAAATTCTGTTCTGGGTAGTTGAGCTCTCATATGTCACGTACAACTAAAAACCTCAGCGAGCATAAATACCCTGTCAGTGTCCCTTTAAAAAATGTATTGTTTTTTTTAGTTCAGTGCTTTTAGAAGCAATTCCGAGACAAACATATCCTCCTATTTCGAGTCGATGTGCCGAAATATCAAAACTGCTCCCATCTCAAAGTTTGTCTAAAACGTAATTATGGCATTAATATACTATATATTTTTTTTTTTTTAGCGAAGTTTCGTTTTGTGACATTTGTCCTATGCAGGCAGTTAAATATATAAGTATTTTTGTGAGTTCTGTGTCTCTGTAAAGCTTTACAAACGAAATGAAACAAAACGAACGGGGACTACCGATGGGCCTGGGGTCTGGGACAGTATCACGGAATTCAGTGGGTTACTGGTTTTATTTGTGTTGCTTGGCAAGTTTTGTGCTTCCACATGTGCTTTTCTTTTTTACCTCAACTTTTGGGATCATCTTTGGGAGCTAGACTTGCTGCACCGTCACCAGGACAAGGCCAATTCGCAACTTGTTCCCTTAGAAGGGGCCGTGTAAATGTGACTCGGTCAAGGTCACTCATTGCGAGCATTTATATGTCTTGAAGGACATGTATGTCTGTAGGATGTGCCTCTCCATGACCTTGCCCTTGGCTGAGTGGTTGTTGGCTCAGAGGCCCTGGCCGCAGATCGGTGTCTCAAAGAAGCGTTAGTTAGTCCCGGCCGGTTCCCTGACATTGCACCCAGAAAGCGACTTGTGTTGCAATGTTTTGGGGCTGCCGTAGTCTACAATAAATGCAGTCTTTTGGTGGGATGAATGCAGTGAGAGTGGCGGGTCTGGCCGGCACTCTGCTCGTTTATCCGCTGGTCCCGATGCGAGTCTTGAGTCCTTTTGTTTTGGGCAGGTGCCCTAGTTTAAGCCCAGAGTGTTGAGTTGCCTTTAAGGGCGTGTCTGCCTCTGGGCAGTATATTTTGCCCCGTTTCAGAGTATGCTTGTGTGCCTTCAGAGCCGTGCATACAGACACAGAGAAAGTTCCAAGGCTCACCAAAGTCCAAGGTCTAATGGACAACTTTGGAACTTTCTCTGGGCCTGTCGTCGGACAATCAAGACTTGGGTATCGTTTATTAGTTTTTGCACCGGCACTCTCATTCCCACTTGCAATTTGTTCGAGCTGTACCAAACGGTTTGAAGCATTTTGTTATCTCTTTGATGGGTTGCTTTTAACTGTGTGTTCATGGTCAACGGGTTAGATAACCCTTGATTACAGTTTGGTCGTTGTTCTTCGTGGCCACGCTGCACGAAAATCTGTCCGAGTTTTGTTTTTAGAGTCGAGCGCTCGCTAGCGTTTCGTGTGTCGAGTCGACTTCCATCGCCGTGCGTGACTTTTTATCACTAATGAAGTTTTGCCATTTTTTTAATTTTTACCTTTTCGTATTGCCTTACGCCTGGCGTGGTTAGGACGAGAGGCGACATACGGTCGTGGGGACTCACCTTCTGTCCCTTCTTGCCCTCAAAGTGTGGTCTGAGACGGAAGTCCCTCTCGAGCTGCTCCACCTCATCTGCCGGCTCTTCTCCAGAGTCCTCTTCAAACAGGGAGAACTTGGTGAGGGGAGGCGTGCGTGCCGCCGCCGACGGCCCTGTCGTCCGGTGGCGATTTCCCTCTTCCTCATCACTGTCCTCAAACAAGGTCTTCCGGTTGTTCTTCTGAGCCGCGGCATCCTGCAGGGAAGTGGCAACACTTTTAAGTTGCCACCAATGTGGGGGGAGGGGGTAATCAAGGCCAAAAGGGTTATGCCGACGATTAGGCGATGAAAAAAGCAGACCGCATACGTTCCGCTTCACTTTACGACAAATTGCAGCGGAGGCTACGAACCGCCCCAGTGATTCCGTCGTCGCAAATGTATCAAGCAATGATGCGCTCCGCACGTCGCCGCATCCCTTCCGCAAGTCGTGTGACACTCTCGCGGCATGGGATCAGCTCGGGTGGCTCATTGCGTCCTCTGCAGTTCGTCGTAAGGTGAAAACCGGGAGAGTCGATTCAATCGGCGCGGTACGGCTGCCAAAAGGAAGTCTGCAAAAGTGAGCAGAAAGGCAGACATGGAGTAAAATAACACCCGTACAACGTCCGCCCACACGAAAACCAGAAGAGGTGAAGATTGAACTCGTCACCTTTTGGGTACCACGAGTTTAATTTCGAAAACGAGTAAGAAACTTGCAGGAGCCGTATACGTGCTTTTATTGTCGGACTTCAAAATTCATTAAACTCGCATATATAGAGGAGGAGGAGGAGGAGGGGGGGGAGACATTTTTTTTACATCAGGATGTGGGAATAAACAATACAAGGCATACTGAACCTACCCAGGCTTCAGCTGTTTTTGCGGGAAAATGCCAACAGTAGTTTCTGAACAGGGAGGGCAGAGTTCAAGTTGACAAACAAATCGTGTGTCTTCAACGAGTGGCAGCTAAACTAACATGCCCAATGATCACCAAGAGGAGAATGACAGGAAGGTCTTTTGCTTGTCCCGCCTCTGTCGTGCGTGTACAATTGACGATGCTTCTGCCTCTTGAAAGCTTCAAGCGAGCACGTCTGTCTAAAGCGAGGCTGGAGGCAACAAAGCATACTAGAGGCCGGCCATCTCTAAAGAGACGGCTTGCTGTTCCCATCCTGTCAATGATGATAGTCTGCTTTGTAGTTTCATAGCTCTATTGTTCTCTTTTTCCTTCGTTCTCTCGGGGCCACCGGCGTCAGTGCTACCCTCGCAGTCCGGCGACTCACCACCGAAGTGAGGGCAGACCTGAGGAGCTCCTTCTGAGACCTGGCCTGGGCCACCCGCCGCTCCAGAGACGCCAGGCGCTTGGCGTTGTCCGCCTGGTGCTTCTCTTCCCCGCTCGGCCGGCTGGAGGCCTCCCAGAAGCTCACCACGCCCCCCGAGGACCAGCCCCGGGGGTTCCCGTCACCTCCGTCGGGCCCAACTTCGTCGCGAGACGCCGACGCGTCCGGCGTCCGGCGCAGCCCTCCGACCCCGGAAGACGGAGGCGTGTGTGCAGCCTCGTCGTCTTCGAAAAGCGACGCCTTTGCCTTCGCAAAATCTGTCGCAGAACTTGCTGCCTAGTAGAAAGAGAAAAAGGAAAGCTTTATACATTTAAATGCAAAGATAATAATACAGTCTTAGCTCATTAAAACAGACTTTGATTTTGACCACGATTTTGGCCTGTTGTAAAAGGAGTATGTTGTATGCAGATATGAAGTTAAAGGGGCCCTGCAATGATTTTTTTACTAATTTTTAATTTGCACCGAACCTGAGTGCACTGAACGTAGTAACTTAGTGAAACTTTTCTTTTCTCGAAATTCCCTTTATTTTAAAAGTTATAGGCAAATTAAAATTACAAAAGCAAGCAAAAAATAACCTCCCTCATGACGTCCTTGGTTGCTTGAGAGTGGCCGTCAACTAGAAGAGGGGTAGTGAGCTTATCGAGCGCTCACGGCTGCCGCACTCTGAGTCGACGGCGCGAGAGGGCGACATTGAAGCATGTTCTGGATAGGCTGTATGCAGCGGGCAGCCAGAGCGGCTCTCATTGCATTTGCTGTGCGATTAAATACTAATTCGGCATGACACTTCATTGGTCACAAACGACAGCAAATACGGGCTAAAGATCAGTTCACAATGGGAGCTGCTTTGCGCTGCCATACCGCGAAACGGCCAAACCGCAAGACAATGCTTTTCGCCGAAGGCCTTCGGAACGCTCGGAGCCGGTCGGATCCTCCTGCCCAAACAACCGCAGCGCTGCCGCGTACATCCGTAACCTTTCTGTGTCGGCGCCTGATCCCACTACTCCTTTCTAGTATGCGTCGCCTTTACCACCACTTGGTGGCGGGTATGTCGACGGGTCATTTCTTGTTTCCGTACTTTATGAACTGCATTCGTTTCTTTTTTTGAACTAAAATACTGAACAAAAACTACTTTTATAACGAATTGAAACGGTTCGCGCCACTTATATTTTGTATTTCGACTAAAAAGAAGCTTTTAGCGGCTCTGACCAGTAGTAAGCCCAGGACCAAAAACGTCACATTTTGCGCGCTTTCGGTACCGCGGGTCGCCCTCGTCGGTGGAGAAGGTTTCCACGTCGTCCGGTTAAAATATGACGCACTGATATTTAGTTACTCTCTCCGTGCCCGCTGGCTTGCCTGAACCCCAAGAGACGTGGAAACCGCAAAAAAGGTGGACGCTTATATATGATTGCAGGGCCCCTTTAAGTCAATGGTATGTAGAGAAAAACTAACCAAACTTCACAAATCGGTATGTTATATCCAAATGTCTGTTGTAACCAGGTCTGTTATAATGAGCGTGCACTATAATAATTATTATTATTGTTACTTCTGGATGCCTCCTAAAAAAATACAATGGTCTTCTGTTTACAGTCACCGACCGATTTTTCAGATGCCGATAATTTGGACTTGTTCAATATTTTCAGGGAGTCTAGCAAATTATTATTTTAAAATTCCCCGACTTTTCCAGGTTTTCCCTGACAATTTCAGGTGAAATTCCCTGACCACTGTAGAGACGGGTAAATATGTAACACCATTACAACACAAGGCATTTTTTATTTACAGGACACAACTATAATCAGCACAAATTAGGGTATCTGACTATAGTGTCTAATATTGCACAAAGTTTATGCAAAAAACAATGAGATGCACAATGGCGATGCCTGATAGCAGCTTAATCCGAAAGACGGACGCAATACTATGGCAGATGGTATATCCTACTCGTCCTTCTCTAACTGAAGTTTTGCAGCGACTTCACAGGCGGAAAACATGAGAGGGAAGAGTGAGGCCGATGCTGCTGTAAAACGAAGGAATCCGTGAATCGCTACAGAGTTTAAACTCCAAATAATCTCGGCCTTTGTCACAGCACTCTTCAATAGAAAGCTGCTCATCAACGTCTCCACACTTGTTGTGGAAACGCAAATGAGAGAAGTCCAGATTGGGAACAGTTTAACTGACACTTCAAAGCAGCAAGGTGCTTTTTGCTCGATGCGTAACTCAAAACTGCTGTGCTTCCCATGTTGCTCAAAGAAAATGTTTCGTGGCACATTGAGCATTGAGCACTGTGAGGATCATTTTGCACAGGCTTAATCAAACTTGCATGTTCCGAAACAGTCCGCTGCAAACGAGCACTTTCTTGCCGCCGACATCGTCAGTGAAGATGCCGCTTCCGGAAACACAATGAAAACACGATGCTCAACCACACACGTCAATAGCTGAATGGCAGCATCGCCACGCTTATGCAGCCGTAGGGCATGGCCACCAGATTCACACTGTCGGATACTATCGGCTTAACGCTTAGATTGGATTGGGGTCTGCGGCTTTCCCATCTGTTGCTAAATATAGTGGCTCTAACTTGATCTAGAATAGTGTCGCGCCCTCAATCCAATCCAATGCAATCCAATCTATGACTTGGACTGGATTTGTCGGCTGTTTCCTTTGCATCGGGTAGCACACTCTAGATCGGGTGAGCAGAGCCCGCACTCCACCCTAAGCAGGATTTCTCGCCTATTTTTCTGTCCCCCAAGTCCTCAAGTCTTTGCCCAGGGCACTCGATGGTGTTTCCAGCTCATTTTCCCTGACTGGGCTCGCTTTTTGACAATATCCCTGACAAATCCCAGATTTTTCCCGGCAATTAAAATTTCCCTGACAATTCCCGGATTTCCCGGTCGCTAGACACCCTGTATTTTGGACCTAAAGGAGGAACTCTGACCTACCCGATAGAAATAGTGCATATTCACAACCAACGCTTCGAGCAGCTTGAAGTCCGAAAATTAGATTCTTTGGACAAAATCATTGCGAGCAATCAGCAGGAAACACCACCGAAAAGCCGCCGGTTTAGGTTCTTTGTTTGCTGCACATGGATTGGCTTGGTTTGGCAGTGCTACTTGAGCACTGCTAAGCCCTACCACTAGGTTCGCTATGCTATGGCTTTTCTTTTCTCTAGCTGCACGTCATTATCGTCATCATTGTTACCATTTTGCTTTCTTCATTCACCATTCTGCAGTTGTAAACTCACACCTCTCATCTCGTCTCTGTGATCGTGTTTTCAAACTACGCTGGATCGGACGTCACGGCCCCATCGATTCTTCCGCCGCCGCAAAGTGTCGCTAAGAGGCACAAAAAGCACTCGACCATAACGCTAGAAAAGAAGGCAGTGATTCTCAAGTTAATAGAAAGTGGCCGAACGCAAGCGGAGGCGTAACCTGAAGCAAGGAAGTATTGACAGCTTTTTTAAGCCCTCTTTGATGTAATAAAAGCAAGTTTTTTAATCTGCCGATTTTTTCGACTACCCTATTATTCAATGTTTTTTTGGTCCATGCGAAGTCTGAGAGATTGGTCAGCGACTGTAGTGCAACAACACAAATGCGATAAGCAATAAAAAAAAAGTATATATATATATATATATACAGTGTAGACCGCATATAACGTATGTCGCGGGAGTCGCGAAAATCTGCACTATAAGCGGTACCGCGCTATAACCAAAACATCAATTTTTCAGGCCAAAATACATGCCATCAGACAACTTACCTTTGTAAAACAATTTATTTTATGTTAGATGAAAAATAAAGCTTAGTTTGAGGAAAGTCTTTATTTCACCATACTTCTCTCTCAAGTGTGTCACACATTTTGAAAGAAATGAGCGACTTTCGCCTGGCACAGCCTTTTAACAGCGTCGCGGGTTGCGGACGGACGTTGCTAACGTCAGAATTGCTAACCCTAATCACTTTTCTCCGGCGATGAAAACACGTGAAAATTCGCATCCTTTATACGGTACGCGCCAGTAACACCTTCAACTTGAGCACAGGCACGAAATGCTCCAAATAAGAAATCCGGGCGATGTTTGAAAACACAAATGCTTAGAAAGGACCACTGTAGTCGAAGTAACAAACACGACGACACGGGCGTTTCTGCCGTTTTGAGAGTGCCGCCACAACATCGCCGCACGAGTAGGTGGATCTTCCCTTCTAGTACGTGCTAGGTTATCATAGCGACACACAACGGAAATTCACTGTCAAGGATAGCGCTTTTACGCGGAACGATGAGCGACTATCACAACCGACGCCATGTTTGCGGATAGAAGCAGCCGGCCCGTGACCGGCATGCAATGCGCGCGAACACTTCTCCTCGACCTGCGATTGGTCTGTCGTTGCGGTTGTTTCCAATGCAGCGGAGGGACGCACGCGCGTTTACGACACGTCCATGCCTCCCTCAGTCGCTATGGCAACTGAAGCCTCCCTCTTCGCTTCTCCCCGCTTCTTCGAGCAACCTCCTTGCCCCGCCGAGTGCAGCTCGCGGCTAGCGCCGTTATCTAGTGTCGCGCAGAGAAGCGTGCGGTCAGCAGGCTGTTCCAGAAACTGCACTATAACCGGTATTTCCCTTCGCGCGCCTGCATTTTAGGCGGTATGTAATTACGTGGAGTTCTATGGGAGGCGAACCGGTGGTTTAAAAAAGCCACATTATACCCGGTCCTGCACTATAAGCGGTTACGTTGTAAGTGGTCTATACTGTATACATATATAGTATTTAAAATTTAAACAGCCCACAAATAAATACATAATGCTACGAGTTTAGGAGGAGAACCTCTAACTTGGGAGTCCTCAAACTTTTTGTGATATCGAGGAACACCCATGTCTTCGTTTGAATGGCAGCCAAGGATCCCTTCCCGGTTCCTCAGGACCATTTGACCACTGACACATAGTGAGAGAAAACTAGAAAATGACCCAGACTCTTTCTTGGGCGGTTGCTGAAAGGGAGGTAACTGATACCCCTTTTCTATGCATATCACCTCATTCAAACTGTAATTTATAGGAAAAAATTTGCAAGTCAGCTTTGAGTGAGCGTTACAGACAGACACTAGATCAAGAGTGCCACAAAGCACACTCCGACGTGCTCTTTCCTAAATAACGACAAAAGCAAAAAATATGCGAGTGGATCGTGCAAGGTCGCACTTTCTTTCGTTGAGCCACTGTCCCATTTGCTTCGTCCACTCCCAGATTCTTGCGCGATAGAGTAAATGCAAGCGAGCCAATGTGCAGGGGGCACCTACCAGCCTCTTTTTGGCACCGGGTGGCATGGGTTTGGCGACACGTTCGGGCTCACCGGCCAGTCTTCTGAACTTCTCTTCGATGTTCTCGACCTTCACACGGACTGGGTGGACAATCCCAGAGTCGTTGGCCTGACACTGGGCAAGACGTCAAGGGCAGGGCGTCGCGGAGGAAGTGAGATCTCGTGTAGGCCAAAAAATTTCCCAGCCAACGTGGCAGGGACGGTCCCCACGAGAGAATATTTCTCCAACTATACCACTTTGTAATGGGACGGCCTGTCCTGAACTAAGGGAAAATTTTGCTGGGAAGAGAGAGTAAACCAACTTTGATATTCCTCATAAATATAGCCCTTTTTGTATTTTCGAAAAAAAAAAAAAAAGCCGTTTACAATTTCCCGTAATGCCGAATTAGAGCGCAGCTCTTGAGAAGGAGGGGAGGGCACAGAGAGGAGGGTATCCTTTCCTTCTCCTCCCCTCCTCCCTCGTGACATCACTCGTGACCCTAGTGACGCCACTTGTGACCCTCGTGACGTCACGAAGGGCACTCGTCAAGGCCTTTTGAAGGTCACTGTTAAGGTTGTGACCTTCGTCACGTCACTCGTGACAATAGTGACCCTCGTGACGTCACGTGCGACATCATTATGGGAAACGTCCCATAATGCAACGTGCGGTTACTAAAAGTTGGGCACGAGATCTGGGTGGGTGATCTTTTAAGGATGGTAAACTCTCAATAAATTAAGGGTATCTGACTTTGTCCTCAAACTTAGTTGTTCTACCAAAATTACTTCCCTCGATTGTATACGAGTCTTTGAAAGAACTATATAGGTTTATTGAATATAATGTTTCTAACTAGCAACTCGTCCTTCATTAATGGCTATGGAGACTAACGTTTTAAGCCCCTCCCCGAATTTCTTTTATTTTCTGGGTACACTTTAGTTTTATTCTACCTAGGAATTCTGTTGAGTACTATTTAGGCCCTTATACTCAGTGTAAACTCTGAAGGGAAAATGTGGTCCAATTCCCATCGAGCTTGAGAGCAACCGAGCAACCCGACTGAGAGCACTCACACTGCTGTTGTTTTTCAGTGTTTCACAAAACTTGTGAGACGGTGATGGCAATGTTCCCGCAAATAAAAAAAAAAACATGTGCAGCGCAATGCCATTTGTCACATTATACAAAGCTGTAAAAACGAATCCGGCAAAGTCGGTGTCCCTGCCGCCAACCCCGGCAAAGGATACATGCTGGGACAGAGTTGCTGCACTGCTTTCTTCTTTCTTCTGTTGCAGGCTCTTGGCTTCTCGTTGGATCCTGCAACACCAAACGCACCGCTTATTTGCCGAGGGAGACAGACGGAGAAGAAACATGAACAAAGGTCTGTCTACACATAGAGCGCAGTGCTAAACCAGCGCTGTGCAGTGACTTTGCGCCTCGAAAGCGCTGTATCAGCACTCTCCGCAGCACGAGACCCGGCTTTTTCCCATTTATAGATGTGACCAGGGCCGTACCCAGAAAAAAATTTCGGGGGGGGTTTTCGGGGACAACGGCGGCCATTTTGAAAGTGTCTATTGTCTTATTTGCGCCTATGATTCATGTGCATCGGTGGCATATAATGGAGAGTTACAGCAAACCGGAGAACCGGTCCCGGTTTGGTACCCGGTAGCCGACCGGCGCCACTGCGCGTGCGCAGAGATGGAGATTAAAATCGGCTGGCTGCCAGTGCACCGACCAGGGCCGCACCCAGAAAAAGATTTCGGGGGGGGGGGGGGGGGGGGGGGGGGGGTCAGAACCCCCTGACCCCCCCCCCTGGTTACGGCCCTGGATGTGACACAGTGCTAGCTCAATGCTGACACTGGCACTGATGCAGCACTGATGCAGCGCTATCTCAGCACTGTGGTGCACGTGTGAGCTGACCTTAAACAAGTTGCTTGAGCCTCCTGCAGAAATGCCAAGAACATGTGATGCACTTAAGTCACTGAAATTACTAGCTTTTGTGATGTCAGATGTCACACCAAATTTCTACGAAAAGTTGGCTGGAACAAATTTTCAGCTGTTGTAACTATATGTAATTTGACAGAGATTTCGAGGGTAGTGAACAGATCATGGTTAAAATGAGCCTTCCTGGCCAAATGTTGGATCGTAGGAAAGCCGTTTCTGTCAGAAGCACGACACAAAGGTGACTAAGCTCTCCAGTATTAAATTTGTCAAATTAATGTCTGGCATTTACAGCAATTCGGAAGTCCTATGTATACCCCCGAGTGAAAATTCGGCAAAGTGCGTAACTACGCCCTGCAGGTATCTGACAAAGAATAATTGATATATGAAAGTCAAATAAACATCACGAAAAGATACAGAATTTCTCAAATTACCTCCAACACAGTAGAATATTGCTGTAGAAAGGTTAGCACTCAGAAGAAGATGGTGGAAAGTAGTACCTTCTACTTAAGTAGGTGACAGAAGGACAAGTGAAAGCAGATCAGCAGTGGAAACTCTTTCCTGTTCTTTTCAAGTTTCAAAGTCTATGCAGTTGGCCACCAGTCTATTTACCTCTTTAGCCAATATAACAGAACCAAACACAAAGTGAAATGTGCTAAGGGGTCATGAAAGTTTCCAGGTTAAATGTAATTATGATCCCAAAGTGTTATCTCCTAACTTGATGTGAATGCTGAGAACTTCTTCATGGAATCATGTACACGAATGATGACTGGTGTCGTATGACTCGAAAAAAATACCTTTTCTCGGTCGACAAGCCCGAGCTAATGTAACCACACTGACGGCTACTAGATGAAAGAGCAGCAGGATGATTGGTTCCGCTTGCACTCGAAACATAGCCAACAGACGCTCACGAACACAAGCAAAAGAAATATTTTGTGGTGATGTAACCATAAGCAGAAATAACATAACCTGCTGTTTCAAAGAAAACACAACTTACACCTGCTCAATGCCAGATTCAACCCGCGACACCATACCTTTGGCAGTGGTTTTGGTTTTCTGACCATGAAGCTTCTTTTCCTATTCAGAACTAAAGATGTCTTCTGATATTAGTGATGATGTTTTTATGCTTATCCCCATATCCCAAAGAACCAGATCTTAAAAATGCACCTTTTTCGAGTAAGCCTATGCACATGCGTACACCTTCTTTCCAACCCTTGCTTCCTGCTGTCACCATTTTTGGAAGGCGCCGTCCAGCACGACCAACATTGTCAGCACCTATCTTTGCGCGTATCTAGTGTTTTTTGATGATTCTATTTTGAACGTCGGTAGTAGGGGGCATAAAAGTCAATGAAAACCGATACAATGGCACTATGCCAATCTGTTCAGACAGGTGAGGGAGCAGGAGGGTGCCTTTCACTTGTCAACCCAATGCTCCACCACTTGTACTTTGCAAATAGCACCCCCAGACGGCGCTCGTTGCTTGAAAAAGGTCCGTTGCAAGTCGACTGCAAAATATTCTGTGTTGGAAAACATGTCAATCTCATTAAACAGTAACACCTAGTGCAACACGATCACCTATGTGAATGTTGTATCTCTGGTATCTGGTATTTTTGGGGAGAACAGATCTGTTTGACTGTTTTTTCAGTTTCCAGTTATTCGAGCCTGCACCACTGAAAAGCCCCAGCAAAGTGGCCTGTGAGGTGCCCCGTAGGGAAAGTGGAAGAATGTGGGGTGCCCGATAGGGAAAGTGGAAGAACACACAAGACAGATAATAAATATCTCCCCAGGCTACAAGAAGAGTCCAAAAGAAAGCAGAACAGATACCTCTGGATGTAGCTCTCCTTTGCAACCTGCACCAACATCTCGCTGCCTTTCCATTTGGCACCGTGGTAGGTCTTGATGCCTGTTAACAAGAAGCACTCATTGTCAGCCAACTAATGGAGGGATCGCTTAACAAACATGAGATTATCTAGTACTACTAGGCAGACATTCAAACTATTACTACTGTAATGTCTGGAGAGATGCCCCAACCCCGAAAGATAACCCACCTTACTTTTGACACGATTCAGTATTTTTCTCAAAACACTGAAAGATAGCCCACTTCTAGTAATTGCAATGCACCGGCCAATGGCGACCTCAGCGGAAATGAGGACAGTTAGGCAGGTGATAAAGGACAACTGGGAAGAATGGTCCTCTTTGGTTCGTAGCACCCCTGCTGCGATAACAAGTTCGAAAGATTACAGGACCTATGTGACGAAGTGATCAACATTTTGTTTGACAGTGATAGCGACCGCTCGTTTAAAGGCTTTGATGCTGAGTGAATGAAGCGTAAACACACCTTCACATTCTTTTGCTACAAGTTTTTTTTTCCAACTTCTCCAAAGTTTAGCCACAGCTAAAGTCTGGTCACTAAGAAGATAATTAAAAATGGCAACCACTGAAACTAAATTGCTAGCTTATAAAATGCTAATAAGACCTAGATTGGAGTATGCTAGTGAAGTTTGGGATCCTCTCACAAAAGGTTTAATATTGAAATTAGAAAAAATTCAGAGAATGGCACTACATTTAATTTTTTCGAAGTACAGAAGACTGGATACACCAACTGAGCTGTATTCTAAGGCAAGTCTTTCCTTTTTAACCGAGAGGAGAAAAAATAAGTGTTTAAAAATGCTTTTCATGATTTTAGATGGTACGTACACTCCAGATTGATAAACAAAGTTTCATCAAACCCAATCTATGTAGAATCACACGTAATAAGCTTACTAGGACGATTGAAGAGTACAGATTCAACAAAGAATGTTTCAAGAATTTGTATTTCCCTCGGACGATAAGGGAATGGAATAATCTTCCTCAAAGCGTCATTAAATCCAAAACGGTTTTGGATTTTGTAAAGTGTCTCCCATGTAACCAATAGACCTCATGTTATCATCGTTGTTGTACTTTTGTGCTTTTTCATGAGTATTAGGTGTCGTATAGTCCTTCATTTTTTGTCATAGTGTTCTGCATGTCTATTACATTGTCTGTTGTTTTTTGTACTCACTCCTATCATAGTCCCCGTGGGGGGGACTGATAGTATTGTGAAATAAATAAATAAATAAAATATATATTGAAAGTTAGCCCACTCCCCGTTTTCACCCAATTTACTCTCGATTTTAGGTGGGCTATCTATCGCTTGAAATATTACAATATGCACATAGACGAGATGGAAAAAAAGCCTTATTAATGACTGGGCATGCTACCTGAGAAATAAGTCTATTGGCTCCCAGTGGCAAGGGGAAGGGACTGGCAAACAAAAAACTCCAAACACAAGTATTCACTGCCTTGTCTGCGCATTCACCCTTCTTTCAGACATCCGCTGTCGCAGAACCAGCGTTTGTGTCTGACAGGCACAGAGTGGACAGGCAATAAAGAGGGAACAGGTAAAGCTGTCCAAACGGAACACGTTTTCTGCAGTTCGCAGCATTTGCTGTACTAGAATAGGAGGTTTACTTTCGGTTCCAGTCCGCTTTGGGACATTATTTTTTGCCAAGGGGAAAGCTACCTTCCACTTCTGTCCTTGGACAAAGGCTTAGAGCGTGGTCATCACATGGGTTCGAACAGCCACGTACACACTCTGCTGGCTGTTATCAGACTCCACTGTTGTTGTCAGTCCCGAACCTATCGAAAACAAGGAAGGGGAGGAGACAATCGCGAGGAGGCAAGGGGAGAAGATGTGCTGCCTGCACGGTTGACGTCTTCCCAATAAACGTGCATGCACACCGCAACGTTCACACCTTTCTAAAAGCTTTTTTTTTTCTTTTATTTATGTACACGGCATTTGCAGCAGTGCCCTGTTTGGGCAGTCCCTAAAATAGCTGAATTTTGCAAACGCTGCGTGCTCCCCCTCTTCCTACCTGCCTTCCTCTTCCTTCCGTTTCAGGTTCAGCTCATGAGAAATATACAGCAGCCTGACTCTTCTTTCAGACATTGATTGTCGCAGAGCCACCATCGCGTCGAACCAGGGGTGGACGCAGGTATTTCGTGAAGGGGGGTCAGGTGTTGGTCAGCGTATCATATGTTCAAGACCCTCCCCCCTCCTCTCGTTTCCATGCCCTAAATGTTTACACATGCAGAATTCAAGGGGGGGGGGGGGGGGGGGTCAGGACACCAGACCCCCGACCCCCCCCCCCTCTATAGCCCCCCCTGCGTTGAACTGCCGTGTAGTGCAGGCAACGAAGGGATGCTATGCAGAGTGCACGTTTGTCTGCTTCTTGCGCAGAAGGTTGCGGTGAAGTCAGATTGTCGAGCTGCAAGGGCTTCTTTACTGGTTTTCAATTTGCACCGAACCTGAGCCCACTGAACGTAGGAACTTAATGAAACCTTTCTTTTCTCGAATTTCGCTTTAGTTTAAGGGGAGGCACTCCCTTGGAGGGTCTACTTTTTAAGTATTTGTGCCAGGTCAATGAAATTTTTAGGGTATGTTAAACGTGGAAACTTAGGAGGCTACACCAACTTTCAACCCAAAAGGTTTATTTTTTTGACAAGTTACAGCCTTATTCGTTGAAAAAAATGTACATGTAGCCGTGCCAAAGGAAAAAAACTATCGTTTCAAAATATGAATAAAAAGGCACAATTTCTTTGCTGGGATATAACGCTGAATGACTAAACTAATCGGTAGTAGGCTTGAAATAATTTTTAAGGCCATATTTCATGTAAAAATTAACTTCCAATAATGGTATGAATTTTTAATTTTTTTCTTGTTTCACAAACGTCAACATTTTTGTGTGAAGAAATAACAATTTGCAAAAAGTAAGCGCATAGCCGAGTTCTCCAGTAAATTTCATGCCAAAAGAGCCATACATTAGACTTGGGGGCGCTTAACTCATCGAACGATAGTTTTAGAGCTGTGAAAAAATGGTGAAAACATGAAGTTGAGAAAAACGGGTTTGAAAGTTCGAACAGTGTTTTAGTTTAGATGGGGCTTGCCATTTCATCTAAAATGCTCCAGGGGCATATGTCACTCCTTCCTCTGCACGGTCCCTCTGTGCCTTGGCCACAGCTTCCATCTTTCTTTTTTTGTGGGACATCTTGGAGGACTCGAGCGCTTTCACTTGGGCCTTCGCAACCTTCATCTTGGTGGCATTCTCTCCGTATGACGCTTGGTAGCTCCCTGGCTGTATGCCAATTTCCAACAGAGCTTCCTGATTCGCTAGGACGAGCCACGTCACGTGGCTCGTCCTAGCGAATCAGAGCTCTTGTTTTGCCAGCTTGACCAGCTTGACAAAACATAGCGTGCACAGCTATGTTTTCTACGGGGTTTTACGGTCTGTGAGCGCGATATCGCGAACAGAACGAAAGAGGGCGAGACGCTCATTCCAATGAGGGGGGGGCCTGTCCATGCTAGTCCTAAGAAACGCGGAGGGAGCGCGCTTGGAAAATGGCTCATTTTCGTAATCGGCCGCGTCGTCGGCGCGCACGTGCGGCCGCCAGCACGTCGAAAATAATTTATTTCGGAGTAAATACTTTACTTACAGAAATAAAATTTTTGGAGAGCATTCTTTATGAGTTGTAAAAGCTGGTCAGCCTATTTTCCAAAAATGTGACTTTTTTGAAAAAATCGCGATTCCTAGGCCGTGCCTCCCCTTAAAAGTTATAGGCAAATTAAGATTACAAGAACAAGCAAAAAAACCTCCTTCATGATGTCCTTGGTTACTTGAGTGGCCGTGAACTAGAGGAGGGGTAGTCAGCTCAGCGAGCGCTCACGGCTGCCGCACTCCATGTCGACGGCTCGAGAGGGCGCCACTAAAGCATGTTCTGGATAGGCTGTATGAAGTGGGCAGCCAGGGCGGCTCGCATTGCATTTGCTGCGCGATTAAACAATAATTCGGCATGACATATCATTGGCCACAAAAGACAGCAAACACGGGGTAAAGATCAGTTCAAAACAGGAGCCACTTCGCGCTGCCATACCGCAAAATGGCCAAACAGCAAGCCAAACCTGCGCCGAAGGCCTTCGGAACGCTCGTAACCGGTCGGATCCTCGAGTCCGTAAACAACCGCAGCGCCGCCGTGTACATCCGGAACCTTTCTATGCTCGCTGTTCGTCAGAGCCTGATCCCACTATTCCTTCCTAGTATGGCCCGCCTTTTTTACCGCTTGGTGGCGGGCATGTCGACGGGTCATTTCTCGCTTCCGGACTTTATAAACTGCATTTGTTTCTCTTCTGATCTAAAATACTGAACAAAAACTACTTTCATAAATAATTGAAATGGTTCGTGCCACTTATATTTTGTATTTCGACTAAAAAGAAGCTTTTAGCGGCTCTGACCAGTAGTAAGCCCAGGACCAAATACCCCACATTTCGCACGCTTTCGGTACTGAGGTCGCCCCGTAGGCGGAGGAGGTTTCTGCGTCGTCCGGTTAAAATATGACGCACTAATATTTAGTTACTCTCTCCGTGCCCGCTGGCTTGCCCGAACCCCAAGAGATGCAGAAACCGCAAAAAAGGTGGACGCTTAAATATGATTGCAGGGCCCCTTTAAGAATAGTGGGTAGACCTCAAGGCAGCTAGCTTTAAAGTCTGCCCACTATCCTTCAATCAAAGTCAATCAGAGCTCAGCATTCGGATGTCACCGCGACCCCCCGCACAAGCAGCAGACAAACTTGCTCTCTGCATGGTCACTGAGAAGGTGAAGACAGCCTCGAGCATGCATGCTTTTGCTTGAGGCTGGGCATTCGAAAGAGAAATGCCTTCGTTCTCACCTCGTCTGTTACTATAGACCATTCCATTTAGCACTCTCTGGGCGGCACCATTTTGTTCAACCACAGCGCCCTCTCCACACATCCGGGAAGTTCAGCGGGTTCGGCGGGGTAAAACGAGAGAGAGGGCACGCGCCCGACTCCGCTAGCAGACGACAAACCGGGAGGTTGCCGTTCTCCATCTTTGGGCTGTATCGGCAGGCAGTACGGAACATCGAACTCCCACTCGTGGCTGCCGTCGTGAAGTGGTTCACATTCTTAGAATAGTTGTGGCTACTCCAAAATCAGCCTATAGCTCTCTGTTGTTCTATTTCGCTAAATGATCAACTCTCATATCTTTTTTCCGTTACTTAAATAGCAGCTGAGTCAGCCGGCAGTACTACCCTCAACTACTGCGTGTATTGCAGCAGGAGAGCACGTTTTATTTATTATTTCAGACTTCCAATCATAGTCGCTAAAGGCCTACACCAGTACGAACTTTGTATAGTAAAAAAGGTACAGCAACCGGATTTACTTTTCACCAAAAAGACTGGCCAATCTGCCACAGTTTTCCCTATTTTTTTTTTTATTTGCATGCAGGTAACAGCACAATTGGACCCTGTGAGTCGTTTTATCTAGCATAGTATTACACGACAACCGGCATACCAAACTCTGCGCATCTGCGCCTGGAACTTCCAAAATGATGCGATTTTAAACAGAGTTTGCACGCCAGCTGGACGCTAGCTACAGCCAACACCACCTAGACAGAAGGCCTCCGCATGGTTTCCTCTTCTTCTATGAAACGTCATCACAGTCGGATCGCGCTCGGTCGGCTATTGGACCCGAGCCCGACCTTCGACGCGCTGATTGGCCACGAGCCGCAGCCGAACACTGATGCAGCACTCGTGGCCAATCTCTCGCCTCGATCGATCTGACTATGATGACGCGTGTGGAGGCCTTCTGTCCAGGTGGTGTTCCTACAGCCCACTCAGCGGAGCAGACGATGTGCGGGGTGAGAGTAGGAGTGCATTTTTTTTCTCTTTTACTCTCTCTGCTATGACCCTAATGGAACGGTCTATAGACCTTTTTTTTAAAGGCGCCGCCATCTCGAGAATTGCGGCGCCGACGACGCCGTCTAGCGGCTTAGAAAAAGAGATACCGGCTAGTTCTGGCAGCACAGCTATCTGGTAGGCAACGGTGTGGGTATGGGGGGAACTTGGCTAGACTTGGCTATGGTGGGCTGCAATAACTTGGTTGGAGCTTGTCCGGTTAAATACAGCTGGCTACTCACAGGCCATCACCTTACCGCCTCGAGAGAACGAGGACGAAGACGGTGGGGTGTTTTGATTGAGCTTCCACAGCGAAGTATATATGAGAAATTTAATGTAGTCTATATATGTGCAGCTAAGCTCTCGGCATTTGATAGCTCCATCTTGAGTAGTGGCATGTAGACTTTTTCATACCTTTCACATACCATGGGGCTTGCAGTGATAACCTAATTGGACCACCTGCACCGGGAATTAAAATCTTTCCTCTTGTCGTAGACGAAGGGGTTGTGAGCTTAAACGTGACGTTCAGTCTGATGCGAATCTCTTGCGATTCAATCTCGCAATCGACTGATTTCATAAATAAGGATTCTTGGAGAAAATGCGAAGCTCGATAACATTGCAGCCACACTCGCGCTACAGCTTCTTGTGTTTAAGTATATGGTCAGCTAGAACGAAAGGGACAAACACAGACAGAGAGAAACAGAGACATACACACCGCTGACCATCAACTAAGACTATATTTCTTCTTCATCACTGTGACCCACAGATTCACACTTAAAGTAATGCCAATAAATGACCCTACATCCTTACAGTACACTACTAAATCAAAATACTGATTAAATAAAATTAAGTTAAAACTGAAACTAATTAATTACATTAAATTATTAATTATTAATTTTCGTCCAACCCACAGACCACCGCCGAAACATATCCCTCCTAGTCCCTTTCACGGCGCCGTGCCACACTGCAAAAACTGCCTTTCTTTCTTGCTGACCGTGATGGAGGGCATGCTCACGCAGTCGTCGCCGGTTTGCTCAATGGCCAGGGCCTCGAGGATCTCGCGCGCAAAAGCATTCCTGTGTCTGTTAATAATGGAGACGCTAGTAAACCGTGGCCTGCACCCGCACGTGCGGCAATGGGCAGCAAGGTGCCCAGCTCCCGTGCCTTGCACCGACGCCGCGTGCTCCCTGACTCTGTCGTTAACGCAGCTTCCCGTCTGCCCAATGTAGCAGCTCCCACATGACATAGGAATCTTGTACACCACACCAGTCTGGCACATGGTGTACTTATTCCTGTGTGCAGTATTGCTGCACACAGGAATACTGCTGATGCTGGGACCTTGATGCTGGGACCTACGGAGAGAAGGCCAATGCTGCGGTAGCAAAGAACTTCATCCAGGTTGATGGGAAACAAAGCCAAAAAGCGAAGCTTGCCGTTAAGCGGCTGCTTGAAGATCACAATCTACCCAGCCTGGGCACCAAAGTGAAGGCTACGAAGGGCGGTCACCTTGACGTTTTCTTCTCGGCCAAAACACATAAGGTGGGGGTACCGTTTCGTGCCATTGTCTCCGAGAGGAAAACCTGGCAAGCTCATGTGTCAACGTATCTTGCAAAGCACCTGTCCCAGGTGCTTTGCACCTGGGACAGGTGCTTTGCACCTGTACAGACCCGTACAGGTGCAGAACGGGGGTGTACGGGTCATCCCCGTTCTGTACGGGGATGACCCGTACAGAATTTCCAACTCAGAAGAGCTTATTGCCTATCTTCAAGTACATGGATCCCAGGTAGTATCTGGATTTTCCATCGACATCCAGGACATGTACTATTCTATTCCTCACACTAGCCTCATGCCAATTCTACGAGAGACCATCGAGGAACACGGCGTAACGCCTTTTCAAACCTCAGCAGGGATTAACATAGACGCCTTCTTGGAACTGCTCGGGGTATATTTAACGGCGACCGTGATCTCGTATGAAGGTCTAGACTACGTCCAAAAGAGTGGGATATGCATTGGGTCTAGAGTGGCGCCACATCTATGCGATCTGTTCCTGGTGGCGTGTGGTAGGCACATCCAATCCACACTGAAAGATGCTAGAGTAAAAGCCATCTTCAGGTACGTGGACGACTTCTTGATCCTGTGCAGCACAGACATCGAAAGTGAAGAAAACGGATGCAGGAGCACGATCATGAAAACATTCCACGAATGTTGCCCCGACCTGCTCTTCACTCATGAACTACCCGTGGGCAACTCTATTAAGTTCCTGGACCTCGCACTTGAGTTTAAGGATGGACATGTATGCTGGAGGTACGAACCTCGTTCCAGTAAAGGTTTTCTTCCGTTTGCATCCTGCCATTCGAAAACCGTAAAAAGGAGTGTTGCCAACACGGCACTCATGTCAGCGCTGCGCAAGTCATGCAACCATCAAGCTGACGCCAGCTTTCAGAAGCAGATGGCCCGGCTTCGTGACTCCGGGTACCCAGGTGTCCTCCTTGGAGCCGTATGTGAGGCAATTTGCAGAAAATTTTCAAAAGGATCACCCAGTACCGAGCGAAACAGACAGACTTCACGAGCGAACTTCGCAGTAGTCCCCTACATCCACGGTGTCACCCACCGGCTCAAAAAGATTGCTGCACGACAAAACGTCAAGGTGGTGTGCTCGGCACCGAACAGAGGTAACTCTATGTGCCGCCAGGTAAATCGGGCCACAAACCGCCAGCCAACCTGCAATACTGCACACAGGAATAAGTACACCATGTGCCAGACTGGTGTGGTGTACAAGATTCCTATGTCATGTGGGAGCTGCTACATTGGGCAGACGGGACGCTGTGTTAACGACAGAGTCAGGGAGCACGCGGCGTCGGTGCAAGGCACGGGAGCTGGGCACCTTGCTGCCCGTTGCCGCACGTGCGGGTGCAGGCCACGGTTTACTAGCGTCTCCATTATTAACAGACACAGGAATGCTTTTGCGCGCGAGATCCTCGAGGCCCTGGCCATTGAGCAAACCGGCGACGACTGCGTGAGCATGCCCTCCATCACGGTCAGCAAGAAAGAAAGGCAGTTTTTGCAGTGTGGCACGGCGCCGTGAAAGGGACTAGGAGGGATATGTTTCGGCGGTGGTCTGTGGGTTGGACGAAAATTAATAATTAATAATTTAATGTAATTAATTAGTTTCAGTTTTAACTTAATTTTATTTAATCAGTATTTTGATTTAGTAGTGTACTGTAAGGATGTAGGGTCATTTATTGGCATTACTTTAAGTGTGAAAGTCAGCGGTGTGTATGTCTCTGTTTCTCTCTGTCTGTGTTTGTCCCTTTCGTTCTAGCTGACCATATACTTAAATTATGTACCAACTAGCTCAACTTCAACCTGTTATTCAGCTTCTTGTGCTCATGACACACTTTCTGCTGTTGTTATTATGCCTTTTGAAATTATTTATCCATCCGACGACCACGCAGTGGTAGCCAGACAACCATAGATTTTCGGAAATTGCAGCATGGTAAAAAGGAGCACTCGGAACTAACTCATGCATGACGTCCGTTTTTAAGTTTTTTCGCCCATATCCTTGGCGGTTGCATACCCTGTGTCAGCGGGCAATCTAAAAATGCACCAGGTCGAGGGTACGTCAGTTACTGGCTGGTTTGAGGTTATGCGAAAAAGGTCTATATGGCAAGAAATTAAACTAAGGGAGAGGAGAAGATGAGAGCGTGCGGTGGCGTCAGAGCGCCAAGCTCCGATTGGAAGGATAGTGGGTAGACGCCAAGGCTGGCTGTCTCTGCCTGTCCACTGCCTCTCCTCCAATCAGAGCTAACAAGAGCGTCGTCTGCTCCTCGTGCAGTCTGGCGTCCCGCGCTCTGAGGCCGCCCCACGCTCTCGTCTCCTCCTCTCCCTCAGTTTCTCACCGCATAGGGAACAATTAACATGACCGCTCACAGCTGACGAGGTTCTCCTGGCCCAGCTCCATGTCGAGGTAGGCGAACGTCTTGAACGGGTTCCCGCACTCGTCCCGCTTGGTGTGCACCTCGACGTTCTCCACGTGCCCGAACCGCTCGAACTTTTCGCGAAGTTCATCCTGCTTCACAGTCGACGAAAGGTTCCCCACGAACAGTCGCTTCTTCATCGCTGCGGCCGCTGGCGAGCCTGCCGACTGGCACTCGCAAGTTGAGACAGATCAGTGGTTGAGACGGTGTGTAACGGGTCGTTTACCAGCTTTTAAAACTAGGGTAATAGGTTACCGGTGTTCAACAGCTGCTTGGACGAACGTGGCATTCTTGTTGAGTACGAGGCGAGGTTTGTCAAACACTAAACTACAGTGGTAACAAAACACTGCAGCGGATGATCTCCTACACGTGTTTCCGCACGATTTTCTTGCGATTTTCACATCGTACGCCTTCACTTCGTTGCTAGGAGACGAATTGAAGCGCAACAAATTACAAATGTAATAAAGAAAAACTAATTAATTTGAGTAGAATGTTTAAACAAATACTATCGTAGTAAATAAACATATTAATATTAATAATATTAACAGTTGTGTAGAGGACGCTAGAGGGCTATTGTTGTGTTATTGCGTTCACTTGTTGCGTTCCAACAGTCCTTTTCGTTTCCTGTGACGTCGTTTATTGCAGTTTCGGCTTCTAAACTTGTTCGAGGCACTTGTATCGAAACACTATGTTCGAAATAAAAATATATTTTTGAATAAAATATATTTTTTTCGCAAATTTGTCTTAGTATATGTAGTTAAAGCGGTGAAAGGTTAATCTGCTCCGTGACAGAAGCCGAGCTATCGACCGCATCCTGCTGCCGCCTGCGCCGAACCAGCGGCAGCCAGCGGTCAAAGGGAATCAAATTCGTCAAGTAACACAAAACAAAATTCGAGAAAAAGAAAAATTCTTCGGCTTTTGGACGGCGAGCGGGCAGTGCGACGGTTGCGGGCGATGCTTGTGACATATTTCCAGTTCTAACCGAAACGAACTAATCCATCGACAGCCATCGGTGAGTGGAAACTTCTCTCGGGCTCCCGACAGCTCATCACTAGTATTCAGAAGTGAGCGCATAAATTTCGGCACAACCTCTACGTCCAACAACAATCGCCGCGAAAACAGTTGTTGCAGACACGTACGCGGCAGCTGACCACTCGTTTGTTACGCAGTATCCAGTGCGGTCCAACTTATGTGCTGATGATCGCGAGCTGTCGGGTCCAGCGGACGATAGCGAACCTATTTTCGATCGCCACATGTCAAGCCAACACACTTGTTGTATTTTTTTTTTTTTTTCGCACCTAGGCAGCCTCGCGGTTAGCGAGCGGTACTGCTCCACGATGAGTCCACGTAAGTGAAGTCGTTCTTTTCAGATCTCATGTCATACGACCCGTTCTATGCTTACTCTGTCCTGGGATCCACGCTGTTGTCGACGTCGTATCTCCTATGTCTCGCTTCGTCTGCGTGAATGCTTTTCTTCCTGCGAGCTATGGTGATGTTGGTGACTCCTCACTTTGCTTAGGAGCCATGTGTGTGACTGCTTCTTCCGTTGAAAAAAAAAGCGCACCTCGAGCGTGTTATGTTGAAACTCAAAAGACTCTGCAATCTTTTAAATTAATGGCTGTAGAACGCACTGAGCGCCAAGTAAAACCCTTTGACGCCTCTCAAAAGACCAATTTTTAGCTTTCTAAAAGGCATATGTTTACCTCGAACGTTTCTGGCGTGTGCACTGCCTCTTCCGCAACAATGTTTCCTGGCAGAGTTCTGATTTTTTTTTTGTTCAGTTTATTAATGTGTCGAATTATTTATTAAAATGTGTCAAATTATTAATGCGTCGGCCTTGTCATGCAACTAATACAGTAAGGGACAGCAAGCTATTTGATCAGTTGAGAAGATCCCATATTTCACGTTTGTTGAGGTCATGAAACATATACATCGTACCCGGCAGATTGTAGAAAGTGGGAGTTGCCTATATAGTTACAAGGTGATTAAATGATTGTAAACATATCACCAACGTACGGCCGAAAAAAATCCAAAGAGCTAACCGGCTGTTAAAACATTGCCCACCTAGTTCCCACCTTGATTTTTTTTAGGGGCGAAGATCCTTAGGGTCTAGCCTTGTCCGTCTGTCTGTCCGGCTGGCGTCCGTGCTCATATAAAAAGAAAAGAATGTTTGTGCAGTCGACAGGAAATCCATTGGGGTCTCCCCATTGGATTTCTAGTCCATCGCCTTAACCACTCGGCCACGACTGCGGGACAAGTAGGGGGCTCTGAGATGTGGTAGTAACTCAAGAGCTGGGGTTTCTGTCATGGATGAAACATTGCATGTAGCTGCTCAATGTCTATACAGGAGAGGGCACTGCAGTCAAATGCGTATATAATCACGATAAACTTTGCATGCATTGGCTCAATGTTTATAGACGAGAGGGCGCTCCGGTCAAATGCTCAACCGCGTATATAACCACGTTCCATACCACACATTCTCTTTCTGACATGGACCATTGACTTAAGCGGTGGAGATGTGTTCTCACGGCTTCTAGCGGATCCAAGCTGATCCACTAGAAGAACCACTGGCTCTGCATTTCACTGGCCATAAAGCAGTAATAATGAAGTCGAAACGCAACCCGGAACTCAGCACTACCTATGAGCAATAAAAAAAAATCAGCACCATCAGCACTACCTACGAACAATAAAATCAGTATCATCAGCACCACCAGAGCTTCGCCCCAATCAACATCATTCACCATGTGGAGATGCGGTCCTTTTTTTTTTTTTTCTCTCTCTTTAAAGCCTAGATTTTTGGGCCATTCAGCACACACAAAGTCCACCCATTGCCTTTCTGGGGACAAACTGCCCCGCTGTGCGTGATATTGAGTGCTTGGTTCAGGAGACGATGGCATGTAGCGGGGAACTTGGCAGAGGCTTGGGTCACTGAGGCATTTTGAGGGGAATATAGGATGCCACTAACACATCCACAGCCCAGCGACTCGGCATTTTTTTCACACCTCTCTGTCGCAAACTATGCATTAGCATGTTTAATCCTGGTCAAGGCTTGAGCCTGGTTTCCGCACCGATCTCGAGTACCTCGTGCTCTTGCAGGACTCCAGCTAACCCGATGCCAGCGGGACCACGATGGGCTCCATAGCCCCGGCCGAAGCAAGTGCCACTAGCCGATCCGAAGACGCCAAGCCGCGACGCAGGAGGATGGTGCCACGCCTGACCGGAGAGCCCAAAAGGGACCGCCACCGCGAGGGGGCGGGGGACGCGGGCTCCGAGATGGTGGCGCTGTCTGCCAACTCGGACGACGACTGGGCGGCTGATGAGGTGGTGTCTGTGGACAAGGAGCCGCTGTTGCCGACGGAGAACGGCGAGCTGGACAACGGTGACTCGGGGCTCAAGGGGAGGACTCGTGCCAGAGAAGGGAACTTTGGCAACCCGGCGCCGGAGCCCTTGTGGTCGGTTGCAATCCAGGTGTTTGTGCCGTTCCTCATCGCGGGGTTCGGAACTGTCGGAGCGGGCCTTGTCCTCGACGTCATTCAGGTGAGTCCGTGGTGTTACCGACCGAAAAACACTGGAGCCGGTCCCACCGGCCTCAGCATCCCTTCAACCTTCTCGTCGGGCCCGTAGCGATACTGAAATAGAGCTTGATTTGAGTGGATCTACCTTAGACGTTGTCGACGAAGTTCCGATCTACCGGGTGGTACCTTAGTTAACAAATCTATTTCTTAAATAGAGAATGTGACCTAATCGCATCACGTAGCCAAACCAAATGAAAGCATTGTCTGGACACTTTGCTGTTCCTCGTAGCTGCCCTTACAGCTGCCCTTGCAGAGTTCAACCTGAGTGTCACATCTGTCTATTTCCCTCCTGGGTTCTCGGCAAGCGTTCCACTTCAAAAATATTTGTCTACTTCCTTTAACCTGTTCGCGTTAGTGTCCCGGTACGTGCGATGACATCGGTTGGGTTGGAACGCACGTTTACGTAGTTTGAAAGGTGGCTGCAGGATTGCTCCACGGCCCCGCTGGCAACCAAGGATCGCCGGATGCGTTTCCTTTCGTCGATTTTGGTGCCGCGCAGCAGGGGATGGTGGGCATATCGCTGGTGCGCTTGTTAAACCCCTCCCTGCCCCTTGTCCATGCCGCTTTGCGGTGACAGTCTGCGAATGACTCATTACAAAATATTAACCAACCTTGGCCCACAATACAGGCGGCTTCAAGGTGCCCTGCCGGCATCCCAAGAAGTATGCTCTAGCCGTGCTGTCCCCCACTGCATCTTGGTTGCTAGGTGTTACGTCGTGCCGTCACTCTTTATAAGCACAATCTGTTCGCACATAGCAGAAAAGGAGTTACGGGAACGTTCACATTGCAGAAAAGTTCCGAGAGGCTGCATTCACCATGCTTTGTTATATATAACCACTGCGCGAAATGCCAGTGCATTTCTTCGAGAATCAAGGTGGCGGCAGCAACAATTTCAACCGACTTTTTCTTTTTTTTGAAAAATAATTAACAAAAGCATTTTGGAAAGAGAAGAGCAGTGTATCAAGCCCCCTGGCAACCACTATTATGTTCCTTTTGGAGAGACTGTGAAATGAGTTTTGGACTTTGGACGCACACTTGTCACACTTGCACGTGTGTGAGCAACACCACATAGAAAAATCAAAGCCAGTGTACGAGCATCTTGACGTCACGACAGCAAGACTGAGCGCGGGCGCTGATTGGGCACGACTGCTGCCCCAGCGTTCCAGTAAGCCTCGTGTCCAGTCAACATGTCGAAGGACGGCGGGGCTCGGTCCCAGTCACCGAGTTAGTGCTAGCCGTGCGTGATCACGTCACGTCGACGTATACAGTTCATGGGCTTTGATCATTCTATGCTCCGCGTCACTAGTTGCGTGCAGTACAGCAAAGGCAAGGCCAGGTGAGGGGAGAAAGAAAAATTGACCGCATCTCCACGTGGTGAATGATGTTGATTGGGGCGAAGCTCTGGTGGTGCTTGTCTGCGTAGACGCTGAGCCGCAGCATGCCGAGCCTTTCGTTAGTTTTCATCCATGTCAGAAAGAGAATGTGTGGTATGGAACGTGGTTATATATGCATTTGAGCATTTGACCGCAGCGCCCTCTCGTCTATAAACGTTGAGCCAATGCATGCAAGGTTTAACGCGATTATATACGCATTTGACCGCAGTGCCCTCTGCTGTATAGACGTTGAGCGGCTACATGCAACGTTTCACCCATGACATCCCCAGCTCTTGAGTTACTACCACATCTCAGAGCCCTCTACTTGTCCCGCAGTCGTAGCCGAGTGGTTAAGGCAATGTACTAGAAATCCATTGGGGTCTCTCCGCACAGAGTCGAATCCTGTCGACTGCGCGAACATTTTTTTTCATCATTTTTTTTTTTGCCCTGCACGAGCATGAGCACCAGCAAGATTAATGTGAGCACGGACGCAGGACGGACAAGGCTAGACCCTAAGGAGCTTCGCCCCTAAAAGCACTAGGAGGGCTGGGGAGTAAGAGAGAAACTTCCTTTTCTCTCTAACGTGTCTAGTGCTCTTCCTCTCTCTCCTCGCCCTCCACTGCCATCCTCTCCCATCCCGCCTTCCTTGTGCTCGCCCTTTCTCTCTTTGCCTGGCATTGCCTTCGCCTTCCCTGCACACAACTAGTAACATAGGGTATAGGTTGCATTGTTGTGGGACATGACAGGTGTTACTGTGTGGCGAGGCTTAGGTGCATTCTCCTTTGCTTTATTAGCGTTGGTGTTGGCAACTTTTTAACTCAGTTTTTTTCCCCAAGTTCTGGATTTATTTTATGCCAAACAGTATACAAAAAGCTTTTGTTAATTCGACCTCGACAGGGCCTTGAAATTTGGTTGAATTATCCGAATGATCGAATTAAAAGAAGGACAGAGAAACGGTTAAGATTAAACTTCCTTTTATTGTCCATAGTAGTCACGCGCCTGCGCTTACAACATGTGTCCAAAAGCATGCTCCGGAGAGCAGCGTAGCTAACTGTCACGTCCCCAAAAAAATGGCGTACAAAAAAAAAAAAACGAAAAAAGAAAGTTTTACGAGCCGACTTTGGCGCCAGGCAGCCAGTCCAGCTACAACATAGAAAAAAGAAAAAAAGGAAAAGAGAACTTGCGCTTTTCGGCGTGCAAGATGGACCACACACAATGCTACAGAAAAGCGCTTTGAGGGCGCGCTGAGAAAGCTTTACGAGCTGACTTTGGCGCCAAACAACCAGACAGTCAACAACAACAAAAAAAAAAAAAAAAGGAAAGAACCCACGATGTGCAGGGAGAACAGCGCACCCGGAAAACAGTCACTCAAGTCACCATACACTCAAAAAAAGAGACACTTACGCAGCGCTGACTGACAACTCTCGGTATATTTACACTTTCTTTTCTTCTTCTATTTGTACTATAGGGTGTTTTCACTGACGTAATTTTGTCCCCCATTTTGTTGTTATGGGCTGTTTGGCGTGTGCCGAAGGCAAGCTTTCCAAGGATTTACATGACCCCTTAAATGCGTAAAGCACTGAAGCTTATAAGTCTTACCACGTTGACATACTCTCAACAGGTTGCGATGTAATCCTTCATATTACCAAATTTGTTTGAAAAACAAACTAACAACAAAATAGCAGATTGACGTCATGTGAAAACAATCTATAGGCTAGGGCGAGGGAGAGTAACTGGTCTTTTTTTTTTCTTTCGATATGGAGCTAAAGTTAAAGCAAACTAAATTGAAATTAATGTAACGCTAGGTTCTTTTTGTGACAAGGTTGAAGACTGAGTACTAACACACCTGCCGTTATGTTTCGCAATGTTCTCTGTTTCGATAATTTCTCTTGTGAGCTGGTTGTGGTGCTTGCCAAGCACAGCGCAGTTACTCAGCAGCACTGAGCAGCCACAGTCTCGACAGTGAATGCCTAGATGACCGGAGTTTCTGTTGGTGAATGTGTTCTTATGCTCACGATGGCGATCGTTAAGACACCTTCTGGTCTGACCTATGTAGAGTTTTCCACAAGAGAGGGGAAAGGAGTACACCACCTTCTCTGTACAAGGGACAAAGGTGTTCTTGTGCTTCTTTTTGCAGCCAACAGTTGCAATTGGTGGAGTATTTACTTTCTTGGTCAGACCGGAAGGTGTCTTAACGATCGCCTTCGTGAGCATAAGAACACATTCACCAACAAAAACTCCGGTCATCTAGGTATTCACTGTCGAGACTGTGGCTGCTTACTGCTGCCAAGTAACTGCGCTGTGCCTGGCAAGCACCACAACCAGCTCACAAGTGAAATTATCGAGGCAGAGAACATTGCGAAACATAACGGCAGATGTGTTAGTAGTCCGTCTTTAACCTTGTCACAAAAAGAATTAGACTACCTAGCCTTACATTAATTTCAATTTAGTTCGCTTTAAATTTAGCTCCATATCGAAAGAAAAGAAAAAAGACCAGTTATTCTCCCTGGCCCTAGCCTATAGCACAAATAGAAGAAGAAAAGAAAGTGTAAATATACCGAGAGTTGTCAGTCAGCACTGAGTAAAGGCCCGTTCACACGATACATTTTTCTCGCGCATCTAGTTTCGCGAAATGGTTGCGCCGTCGGAACAAGTCCGAAAAGGTCGCACGTCCTTTTCGGACTCGTTCAGACGGCGCAACCATTTCGCGAAACTACGTTTCGCGACACTAGATGCGCGAGAAAAATGCATCGTGTGAACGGGCCTTAAGTGTCTCTTTCTTTTGTGTGTATGCTGACTTGAGTGACTGTTTTCCGGGTGCGCTGTTCCCCCTGTACATCATGAGCAACCAACTTGCCCGAACCTCTGTGTTGACGAGAACCAGCCGCACACGATGCTACAGAAAAGCGCTTTGAGAGCGTGCGCTGCCTCCGCGTCCGACCACATGTTATGTTCTCCGCGCTACTCCCCGCCACATTGGTTGCGCTGGCAGTGTCATTCGCTACGGTCCGCATATTTGCGCACGTTCGGCTTTGCAGCAAAAAGCCTGTGTTTCGCGATACGTTGGTGGTTTTTCTGCCGTGGTGCTGTGCAATGTGAGCCCACGCATATTCGCTCGGAACAAAATATCTGATGCGGAGTTTTCCCGCGTTCAAACTATCAAACTTTTCCTCCCATAGAAATGTATGGGCACTTGCCGGGGCTTTTGAACACGATCGAATTAAACGAAAAGTCGAATTAACCGAGGTCGAACTAACGAAAGTTTACTGTATTGCCACATCATATAGGTATGCGGATACTTGTAATTGACCAAAGAAAAAAAAGATTATGCTATATCGCCAGGTTGCAAAGTCTCTTGCACACTTGCGACTGCTTTTGACCGAATGCGTCACAACTTCTTTTGATCTCTTACGACGAGAGAGGGCACTGCATCGGGCAGCCGGGGAACACTCGCCATTTCCGTATATTAACGGGAAACGTTTTTAGGATGGGTTTATGGAATAAGTGAAGCTACAAAAAGTGTAACCGCAAATTTCCCCGCTAAATTTAGCGGGGAAAATGACGTCGCGCGACTCCACGTCACGTGGCG